ACGAATCGACCAAATCGAATTACGCTTTATTAATCAAGCCAACGATAAACGTATTTATTCTTGGTAAAATTTGCCACGAAATTTTAATGTGTCGAGCCTTCTTTAATTTTGGCTGGTTACGAAACGCAGTGTATCATAAATATTTTACATCTCGAAAACTGTACCAGACTGTTTCGCTTGGCTTGGTACTACTGCGTTTAGTCGAAAACTTATTGCGAGAGGTAACAGCTGGAGACATGTTTGTCCTCCGCACGAAGAAGTGCAGCGCATAACTGATTTCTTTGGCGCAATGCGAATAACATTTCGCACACAGGAGTCACTGACTCCCAGATGTAACGTCGCGACGACTAATTTTAACTTCCTCGCCGGCTAAATGAATAAAAACAGACCGATCGAGATGCGTTTGGCCCGAAATAAAAGCGATTTTTCTCCAGAACGAATCTCAACGAAACCGGCCGACCCGCGCGCGCCGTTCGATTCATTTTCAGCGTTCTGTATTCCTGTTTCGTCGTGTGTTTTTTGAAATTCATAGCAACGAAGATATTTTCGTGGAATAGTAAATTCGGGTCTCTCGACCTAAATAACGGTATATATCTCACACAAAGAGCATCTAAATATCCTATGGCTCCGACTTTAAATTTCAACATCGATTAACAACTTAAACTTTAACATCGATTTTCAATCTCTAATATGTTCCTAGGTGTACAGTTGATACGATAATTCGAAAATAAACCTTTGCACAATTTTGAGTGCACTGGTAAAATTTTATTAAAAATTGGCAATTTTGGAGATTTGACGGACCTGTTGAAAAGATCAAAGTTCCTAATATAAAAATAACGTGAATAATTATTCCTGTAAACGCGGCATAATTTAATTGCTCATCACAGCTCCGCCATGCGTTTCTATCGAACGAATTTCGCAAGGCAGGACACACATGCGTATTTATTAAGAAAGAAGGTGCGTTCGTTACGTTTACTCTTAATAAAGAATATCCTGCAATTTAATAACATTACCTAGATTCCCTTTTCGCATAACGATCTATTAAGCAATAAAGGTCACGTGGCCTCACGACGCACAACCTAATTCTCTAGAATGATTCCACGCAATCAACGTGCTAAACTCCATTCGTCTATCTTTCGAGTTATCGTTATTCAATCGTTATCAGAAGTGTAACGCAATTTCATTAATAGCTAACGTTTGTACATTTCTATGCATTCGATATTTAACATTGTACATTCAAATATATTCGATATTTAATTCAATTTCTTCAACATATACCTAGAACTGATTAATCGTTTTATTAATACTTTACTTGATTAAAATCTTGTCAATAATCCGATAGAAAGATATTAAAAAATGAATTTCTTTTTTACTTATGCAAATTTGTATAGTATTAATTAATTTGATAGCGAGTCAAATACAACGAACCAGAATTAAATAAACGATCAAACTTTTGCATATAAAATTGCCAGTATACTACTTTAAAAAATAATTATGTATATTACGTTTACGTGTATCTTTCATCTCGTATTACCTCCCGTTTAATGATTAACCCTTAGGTAGCACGCAATACACATGTAGCTCTATATCGGCCTGAGCATCTCCCATATGCATTAAACTATTAAAAAGCTCAAAGTGCCCTCCGACAAATACAATCTACCATAAAACATGTACACGATACAGATTCCTTCCAATACAACATCCATGTACTAATCAAATTGCAAGTTACAAAATCGATTCTTCGATAATTGAGATTCCTCGATAAAATTCGGGCAATTTCGACTGGCTATTCGAATCCTGTTCGAAACCACGAAGGCAGTCATCGAATGCGAGCGTCCATCGGATCGAACGCAAGTTAGCCCGAATCTATGGGCCAAATGGCTCCCCGATTCCCGAAAGCCGAATTGAGCCGAGACGACTCGAGCGTAGCCGAGCGTAGCTGAACGCGCGGAACGCAGTAGAAGGAAGACTCTGTTTCCTTCGAACACGGACGAAACGGTGAGCGCCGGAGGAACTATGGTGGTAGACTCCGCAGGTCTGCGGGTCGTATCGCTCGTATCTTTCCTCGTCGGTGTATTGAACTTGGTCTGTAGGGGTCATTCAACTCGTGGAGAGTGCCGTGTCGTCCCTGGTGACGTCACGTGACTCGCCGTCTCCGAAGAGCGGAGGCAGGCGATGACGTGGCGCGCGTCCATTGGCCCACGGCTCGCCCCGCTACCCAATGACGTCACAGCTCGCGGAGGCACGGACCCGTCCAGGGCGCTGCCACCGCAAATCGCGACGTCACAAGTACCAATGTCGATAAACTTGCCGTGCTTCAGGCTGTATACATAAACACGCGTATTCTCAGAGATTGAGCAGTACAAATGCATATATCATATCATATCATATCAATATTTCTTTTCGTCAAGAGTAAATTGCATAACATCTTTTTTGGCTATCTTAAGGCTATGTTTTGGAGAATGATTAATACGAGATTGCCGAGACGTTGGCGATTTGATACGTCTGCAGTAGATTATGTGCAATTGCTGTGTTGGTAACAGATCATATTTATCGTATTGATAATCATTGGCAATTGTTACCAACGTTATGCGAGATTGCTAATTACATGTTAGAAAACTATAATAGTGAATTTTGCTAAAGAAATTAGTTGTAAGAGCCATATTAATTTGAAAACTATGAGTCTTCGAAACCATCGATTCTTTTTTAACAGTTTGTATATAACATATAATGTGTCACGTGTTGTAAGGGGAGAATGATTCACCAAACGGTGCTCACGTGCGTTCAACGTAAGCACACGTGGGCATAGCTTAGCAAACAGTACAGAAATGTAATCAACGTATCACATTTCTGTCACATTTTTGTTTTCCTGCAAATTACCTTTCTCTGCAAAAAGGCTAGCTCGTCCCGAGAGCTTCCAATATTACTCGTACAACATCCCTTCACAGCTACTATCCAAATCAAATACATCAAACAGAGATCGATGACCACTAAATCGATCACAGGTCACGGATCTCGTTTCCAGAAGGAGAGATCACCAAAAGACACGCTCTTGCTGCACCTGCAGGTGCAACCATAACCTCAAGCAACGGAGCTGGCTATAAATAATGATTGCGAATTTATTTTTAGCGATGGAGGTCTCGCTACACAGAGAAGAACAAGGATAAAAGGAAGAAGACAGAGATAAGGAGGACCAAAGCAGAAACGACGGGGAAAGGAGAAAGCAGAAGAAAGAAAAGTGGAGGGAGGAAGAGAGCAAGAGAGAATCCGCTAGCAGTGGGCGGCTTTCCTCGAGGAACTCACGGCTGAACGGACACACAGGGGGTTATGTTTGGCAGACTGGTTAACTGTCCGGCTGGATGGCCGAACGGTGGTACTCTTGGTTCGCCGCTTCTGGCTTCGCTTCTCTCTTCGCTTACACAGAGTTTGTTGACTCTCGGTTTCAGCACGCCGGCTGACCATGACCTCGCCGAACGATCCGCGAAGTAATACCGAGACGACTCTGACTCCCTGCCACCCGCCGTCGACGTCGTTGTCCTCGTTGTCCCTCCTATACGGTAACACTTGCATACAACAGCCTAGCCGGCGAGAAGCAGTTGCACGTCACCGGAGGAGGAACAGCTCGAGTTCGACGCTGATCCACCTGACGCTCGGTGCTGGGAGCCGCGTTGTCGACTGTGCCGATGCGGAATCGGAATTTCGACGGAAACGAACGACGTACTAAGCGGAATAGCGGTCATTGCCATCCGGATGGTGGCGTCGATGCTTGTACCGAAGATGGAAGTTCGAGTGGATGGAGGAGCAGCTTAGGCTGTCGGTTAGGTTTTAAGTTGATTCGGTTGCACCGTGTTGATTCTCAGTTGGAATATTTGTGTAATTGTTGGAAGAGTATCGTGAGAAATTGTATGATTTATTCTGCGCATGGTTAATAAAGATTTTTTATATGAATGGCTATGAACAGAGACTTTTGTATTTAAATATGCAAGGCTGTAGCGATTTCTTCGCTTTTAACGGGGCTTGTGAGAAAATTTAATCGTCTTGCGATATTTAGCTTGAATCTATGGAAATATTAAAAATATTCGAATGAATTCAATATTTTTGCGAACGAACGAGAAATATTCTAATCTCTTGTCTCCAAAGGTTCTTAACATGTATGAATATTCCTCCCTTTTAATAACACGCCGCTAAGCAACATGCTATATTTATGTAATTATTCATAACTCTTTTAGGATCTGATGCAAATTCTCAAGGTATTTTTATACCGATTCAGCGATATTAGAAGGTCTCTTTAAACATTAATTTACAAATCTCTAAAAAAAAAAAAATGTAATGCTACAGATGGTATAAATTACCTGGAATAGAAGAAGACTAGAACGATATCTTTGAAAAAATATTTAAAAGTAATTTTTGACGCAGACGTTTTCCCTTATTTTTCGAATGTAATTCATTATACGAAGAATTATTCAAACAGCTTGTTTTATACGTCCAATTATGCGGCCGATCGTAGCAAGTAATCTGTAAATCAGTTAGCAGCGAGAAATGAATTTCAAAGATCAATCTAGATCAATGACTCCAAATTAAGCGACTAAGTCAGACTCGCGTGCGCAATTCGAGAGACTGTAAGCATCAATTTGTATGGCTGATTTCACAAGCAGCGAAATTACTCGTACGAATTATTATTGGAGTAGCGCACCTCATTAAAATACAATTTAATTTTCTACAGCGCAATAAGATATATCAAAATGATTATCGTTCGTATCTCGAACGTAGTTTTTAGGAATACGAGCCAGTTAAAAGGAAACAATTGTGCTAGAAGAATACGTATGGAAAAAAAACAGAATTTGAAGAAAAGAAAAAATATTAGACAACCTAAAATAATTCTTTCGTCATATAGGTAGCAGTTATTTACCGTTTAAGAGACCCAAATCAACAAGCTCAACAATGTCACACACGATTACAGCAGAGCGTAGCGAGGGTTAATCCCGAAACGTGGTCAGGAGGACCTGAACTCGAAATGACGGTAAATACGAAGTTCATGAAAAGGGAGGTGGGGTCAATCATCGTCAGGCTTGCGTGGAAAAAATATTAATCTCTGTAAGCGTATCTGGGGCAGGGAATATCGATCGTACGATCTGGGTCAGAGCTTGCATGCACCTTGCTGCACGCGTACGCGGCAGGGTGCAGCGGCCATGTCGTTTGAACAACGACGTACACGTGTGTAGCCCTCGCGAAAAGTCTCACGTGCAAGGTGCCTCTCCACCTCTGGAAACTTACAACAGTCAGCGCGATAAGAGCGAATAAATGCGAACCGCCGACTGCTAAGAGACTGCTTCCTTAGTTTAATTCCCCGCGTTGGAAACACGTGGCCAACGGGTAGATAAGTATTCAAATTAATTGCCCCTGTCGTCTCTGAATTTTGTACGTGCTGTTGAACGTTCGGTTCTTTTCGTGGTCGTTCGAATCGTTGCATATTATCGTCGATTGGAGAACGCGTGCCATTCTATTTTCGTTACCTTAGCGAAAATAGAATGTTTACCAATTTTGTGTACTCTATTTGTGATAATAGTATATTGAATGAGTTTAATAAATGTGTATATGTATGTACATTTATTACGCCTGTAACATTTTAAGTACACAGGCCTTTCTATGGATTTATGTCTATGAATGGAAAAGATAAAATTTGTGTGTGTTTTAGACACAATGCTGATTTCAAAAATATAGATTTATATGTAGCTATTCGTAGGTAGAATTTGATGTATTTTGAATATTCTATTTCTGAAAATAGAATTTCGTGTCTCTAAGAGATAGAACTTTATACGATTTGCGTATTAGACTTGTAAAAATGAAACCTGCTTCGTTAGTATGCCATATGTAAAAATCTGTTTGACCGTTTTCGGAATTCTACTTACACAGATCGAACTCCGTTATATCTCGAATATTCTATTTATAGAACTGAAATATCGTTTTTTTTTTTAGGATGGTAGTAAAAACATAGAATTTTTCTGCATATTCTGCATACACACTAGTGAAAATTTAATCGTGATATTCTGAATATTTTATTATCAAAAGTACAGTTTTACACGTTTTTCATCCTGTAAATATGAAAATAGAATTTTATATATTTACAAATTTTATAGCACTCTATCCATGATAGAATCTTTTTGAAATATTATGAATGCTTTTTCTATACATGATCGATGTAAATTTTGAGAAGAAGCATACTTGGTTAATATATATTTATTATTATTAGTTAAATATATTGAGAAGAAAACGTATTAATCATTTACGTTATTTTTTAAATATGATTCAGTAACAAAAATTCGTTGACACGAAGAACTTTTATGGCATCTGTATTCAAATATCCTTCGATTTATGTTTTTTATGGCTACACTTCTTTCTTTGAAGCTTCTTGAATATTCATACTATGGAAGAGATTTGCATAAAATTGAAAATTCCTTAAGATCGTATTAATCTTAGTAATGAAAATATTCCTTCAAACATTTTTTGACATTCGCTAGAATAACAAAGATGACTTTTCAAATGAAAAACTATCAGTCTCATTCTTCGTCAAATCATCACATTAAATTCTAAAAATATTTAATCAAAATTTTACTTATTGTTTTATTTGTATATTTTATTTTCACTCTTCGCTGACATCTTTTTCTGTTTTTACGTCTATTATTTCATAAGCCACAAAAGATATTGTATCATGGAATAACATAAAAATTGTACGACGAACATATTAAAGCAAAATGATCTCGTTATAATGCTAACGTGACACTGCCACGTTTTATTTTTCCGCTGTCAGACACGAGGAGTACAAAATAACCCGGTGAATTACACAATAAGGAGATTGAAGATAAATGTATAATTGCATGGATGACTGACGAGATTAACTATGACAATGTCTAAGGTAATTGACAGTGACGAGAAGTTTAATTACCATTCTATTCTAACATTCTAAAAATGTTCCAGATGAAACGATGGAACAATGGACGACAGAGAATCGCTAACCGATATTTTATCTAACTCGAATTCGAATATAATTTGAGAAATTCATCTCTAATACACCATCAATGAAACTTTTATCGTAATTTCGAAATATCCACGCTGTTAGAGAAAATTTCACGATGATCGTTAAAAGAAGATATACGTATATATGAATATTAATTAAAATCCCAACATCTGCTTAATATTTATCTAATATTTCAATAAAAGGTCACGTCCCATGCTACTGCTCAATAATAATCGTATTTTATACGTTTTATACGTCTTTTACCATAAATACAAAATTAGAAGCTTAAAACTAAAAAGATATTATGAAATATCAGTAAAATACTTTTTACGTAATAATAGGAGCGAGATAAAAAAAGTATGTTATCTTCATTTTTCTACTTAAATCAAACGAGTGCTTAAAAGGTTAATTTTATAAAAACGAAAAGAAGAGCAGAATCGTGCTCCCACGGGAAACAGATAAGGACTGTTACGATCGCCAATTTGATGTGTGACTATACATGGCTGAACACGTGCGTAGAAGGAGAGGCCGTAAAATCGATCGTCTGCAACGCATCTCTATGCGTTGCACGTGACTCAACGCCACTCTGCCATGGCGGACAAACAGCCCGGCTGCTGTATCAACCAACTGTGCTCAAAATAGTTACCTAATAACGAAACGATTATGCAGAAATTTCACTGTATAGAAAAACAGCAACGTGGATTCTGCTTCTTTTTAAATGTACTTTCAATTCATCTTCTTTTCACTGTAATTCGATTTTCATATATCTACGACCTATTCGAAAATATTTTTCGTTGTACATCATTTTTTGCATGATTCCTGAGGAAGCTGAATTTCAAAGGACGAATTATAGAATAGGCCAACGCTAGAAAATCGATCTTATGTTCGATAAGTAATCAGCAAGAAAATTCGTTCCGTCATCGACAACGATCAACGGTAACCAAGAAATGTTCTATCATTACCGATAATGGTTATCCGCGACCAAAATTAATTTTCCATCATCGATACACGTAATCGAAAAAATATAGATTGCTTATGGCGGTTAGCGTCACCAAAGTCGTTCCAACTAATTTTAAGGTTAAGTCCTCCATCACAATTTTAATTTGGGTTAGAACTGCTACGTGCGAGCGCGCACGCGGACGCGCGCATAACCTCTGATTTTTATTGTAGAAAGTTCATGTACGAGATGATTAAGTATTCCTATTTTGACATCCCATAAACTACCCAGTACATACATTTATCACACTCTTGCTCATAATTCACGTTTGACTGTGACTGCTTCCGACATATACCATTAAAACTGAGACAATCGCTCAAAGACGCTGAAACGCATACAAATAGCCTGTTCGTAGGATAGAAGAAAGTAGCCGCGTCGTATCCCTCTGTGATTGTTAGGGCCGCGGGCGCGTAGAAAATAAGAAAAATCGATAAATGGTAAAACAGAAGCATGCATAGAGCCGACGACGACTGTATAATGCGACGGGCCCCGTTATAAATATTGCAGCCACCGATACAATGCACAATACGCGAGCTACACACGTACGAGAGATTACGAACTGACGAGTCACGCGTCACGTGAATCACCCTTAGGGAGATTTGGTTCCATTCAATGCCAGAGGGTGAAAAGTTGACGAAAAAAAGGCTCGCCGATCGAACAGAAGGGGTTGCTGCAGCCTCCCTTCGCTTCGGACCAAAGACAGTCAAGTACTCTACAGAATATACAAATTTATACTGTGCCGCGAACAAAATCTTTCGCGTTAATTTCGGTATATTCGGTATAATTAAGCGTACGCGTATAATTGTTATATGAACTATTAAAAATGCAACACATTTTTTTATATTCGTACTACGATTAAAGGTTTTAGCATTTTTCAGTGGACAGATTAAATTCTTTTCTTTTATTTCTTTTTTTTTTTTTGCGCCTAATATCATTTTCGATGAAAGCTCGAATTTTTATTTAACGTTTACAGTATTTTCCAACGAGAGCTTGAACTTTTATTTCGTGTTTAGTACTTTCCAACGAGAGAGCTTGAATTTTTATTCTACGTTCGGTATCTTTCGATAGGAGTGCACGTTTTTGTTTCGTTGCGTTGAAACGTTTTTCATAAAGTTATTTAATGGATACATTGCGTAAAGAATTAGGGCATAATCGAGCTAATATCGTTAGTCAAATTTCCCAAGTTACAAATTATCGGTATAATTAGTGTCAGTGCTAATAAATTTCAAAGAAGCGTTTAATAATTACCAACGGTTCGGTTCACAGTTTAGTTTAGCAAGTGCAACGAATTATTACATCGAATTTATTACAATAGTATCAATAAGAATAAAGAAATCTACGAATAATATCCAAAATTGATATCAGCTACTAAATTACCGTGCAAGAGGGCTCATCTGTAGGACTTAATTATCTTCGATTATCGTTTAAAATGTAGAAACAGGCCAATTAATTTACAAAGCTATTTACACGTTGTTATAAATTAAGCTATTTTCCAGAATAAATATCGATTTACCTTTAAAGGAGATGTTTGGATCAAGGTGGAAAGTCGCAATAACTCGTTTCAGCTTCAGTGCACTATAAAATACTATAAATACATATAGTGAACATCCTGTTTGTGCAGTCACGTGATGTAAGGTAACAAAGAAATAACTTCACGGTACAAAAACCATAATATTCATTTCACCGTCGATACTTCAGCGAGTTAGCGTGCGCCAAACCATTTTCTCTTTGTAATTTCTGTTATCGACGAACCGTGGCTCTATTCGTCTAATTATCGCGATCGCAAACGCGGTGCCATACGCTGCAACCAACTAACCTATCACGCGAATGTAATTAATATATCCAATTTCTTTCAATTTTTGATTATGAAAACATGAAAAATGAAGTACCACGTGTTACGCAATCAATACGTTCACGTATTTCTTTTTCTCCTTCTTTTTTTCTTTTGTTCTTCATATTAATTCTTTCACGACATAATTAAATGACGAAGAATTGAGAATGAATGATCCAGAGAACGATTGAATTTTTGGTATCAGATGTAAAAAAATATATGGCGCTAATTTTCTTTCTTTTTTTTTTTGTAGGACAAATATTAATAATCGAGGATCTATGCGACATTTTTTAACTCGACTATTTTCTTTGAAATCTTTCGGTGCTGTATCTCTGAAATTTATCACAGAGAGAAATCTGCTTTCGTTTCTTTGTTTATTTCTAATTCGAATGCACAGTCCCGTAATACGAAATGACAAAATTCCTTGCCGTAACGATCATTCGTTTCGCGTATATAATAAAAATGCAATATCCACCGAGATTTAATTATTCAACGAGATTTATCATTTTTACCATTCCAAACAAAACACAAAATTATCAAGAGCGCGGCGGTATCGAGCGACCCGTTTCCAGTTTCTTTAGTTACCGAGCACACTACCTTGCAGTTCTATTTACTGTTACCATTCGCAGGGTGAGTGAAAGCTAACGCAAAAACGAACGAATCTCCATAGAATTTACGATACAAAAGCAGGCGAATTAAAAAAGATTAGAAGAAACGGGTTAATTCGAGAGAAAAAGATCAAAATCCAAGGCTACATATTACGAAATACACTTTTATTTTCGTGACGTATCCTTCTACTAATTTTTCTTTGCGTTTGACGTTTCTCGATTTTATTACCGTTCATTTATGTATTTTTTCTTTTTTTTTTTTTTTTTTGGAAAATTCGAGAGTTCAAGAATTTGCGACGCGCGCATAATACGTGAGAATGTGGAAAACACCAATGCAGAATAATATTTATTACCATGTATGATTCGTGAAAAAAAATTTCTATTTAGGTTCCCTTTCGTAGAAATATGCATAAACATTCTATCTATCGTATCGGAGATTCTGACTTTTTTACGAATAGTATCGGTGAGACACAGAGTCGGAGAAGGGAGTCGGACGTGTTTGACGAAGGTTTTTTTTGTTTTGACGAACATGGCGAATACGCGCATGTAATTGTCTTTTCATTCACGTGGACTACAAATAATTGCTGTTACGTACTTCCTACTTTGCACACCTGAACGGACGCTTTGAAACCCAATATATCCAAGGAAACCGCCTCACGCATCCGTGCAGAGAGGATTTTCCATTCAATTTCACTCACTGAATAAGTCTGCGGTTTTATTACCGTTCATTTATGTATTTTTTTTTTTTTTTTTTTTTTTTTGGAAAATTCGAGAGTTCAAGAATTTGCGACGCGCGCATAATACGTGAGAATGTGGAAAACACCAATGCAGAATAATATTTATTACCATGTATGATTCGTGAAAAAAAATTTCTATTTAGGTTCCCTTTCGTAGAAATATGCATAAACATTCTATCTATCGTATCGGAGATTCTGACTTTTTTACGAATAGTATCGGTGAGACACAGAGTCGGAGAAGGGAGTCGGACGTGTTTGACGAAGGTTTTTTTTGTTTTGACGAACATGGCGAATACGCGCATGTAATTGTCTTTTCATTCACGTGGACTACAAATAATTGCTGTTACGTACTTCCTACTTTGCACACCTGAACGGACGCTTTGAAACCCAATATATCCAAGGAAACCGCCTCACGCATCCGTGCAGAGAGGATTTTCCATTCAATTTCACTCACTGAATAAGTCTGCGGTTTATCGAATAGGATAAAGACGAAAGATATTACCCTTGTACGTCACAATATGGTCGTTCCTTCCAGACAACGTTGCACGAGAAATTATAACTTCATTCTTTTGTCACACGCTATGCCTAGCATTTATTAGAACAGGGCTGGTCAAATTTTCACGGGCAAAGATGCATTTTCGAAAAATTTAAATCCGAAGATTACTATTTTGTACCATATTACTATAAATTGTACTGAAATTAAAATCACTATTACTCTACGCTAAGATTATGCATTTGTTTTGACGTTTCAAGGTTACCAACTGACCCGCAGATGCAAGACAAGAAAGAAATAGAACTATTAAGCGTAGACGTATATTTCCCTATAAAATCCTCTATAATATAACTTACGATTTCCTATCCAATTCTTTCTCTGTAAACAAAATAATATTTTCTGCTGAACTTTTTTTTTTTAGATAAAATATAAATCTCCAGTCTATAAAGCTTAAACATAGCATAATTTATTATCGATACCAATAGCGATAGAATAAATTTTGTGGAAATTTGGTTAGGTTGCTGAATGACTTACGCGACAAAAACAAAAAAGATTTGTATTTTAGAAACGATCATATGATGCTGGATAAGAATAACGAGAAACTGTATGTACAAACGTAATGGGAATAAATGTGTGTTAGTAAAAAGAAATATGTCCAATTAACACGTAAATACAGATTACTGTGAAAACGTGTGACTCATGGCGGCAAATATATTGAAAATGAACAGCGTGAAATCCGCAGCAGCTTTCCCGTTAATCAGAGGATAAATGAAAAAGCATTACTCGACCAAGTAATTTTTTAACGAGTTGTACTTTTACTGTCAGAACAGAATCCTTTCCTACATAATATGAGTTTAATGAATTGCAGTGAAACTCAATCTTTAATATCCAATTTAAATAACATTATCGTCGTTTGATGTTTCTAGAGAAATAGAAAAAGAAGAGGATGTAACTTTTACAAGCGTTTAATTTCCTACATTTAAATTTGGAATACCATCAAAATCAATTGTGTTTAAGGATAAAATAATTTTTTTTTTTTAACGAGACCTTTAACGATAAAATTTTATTCTACATTTTCCACTTATATTCGCACCCGTTAATTCACCAAGTTCACATACACATGTATACCAAGAAAATTTTCTAATTCGATTTTCTCGAAAACTAGGTCTTGAACAAAAAGATTTTATTTCGTACTTCCGATTCCTCTTTGCATGTAGAATCATTCTCTAGTCAATAGTATTACGTTATAAGGGACACCCTGTATTATTATATAAGTAATACTTTTGAAACAATGCCAATTACAGAAATTGGTAACGGTTAGATGGTATATGGTAGTCGAGTGGAATGCTGAAAGATCGAAAGGGAGTTCACTGTGAGTTTCGTTCCACGGAAATCTTGCACCATCCGAGTTAAGGAGGGTTGAACAGGAAATCGATATTCCCACTCCTAACCGTCTACAAAGCCGATTGCCTGACAGGAAATGTCAAGTTAACAGTAACAATATCTGCAGTTACATTACTTACGCCAAATTTCTAATTGGTGTAATTAATTAATAACGTAACACTGTTGAAATAATATTTTACAAAGTATCAAAAATAAAAAGAGAAAAAATAAAGCAATATTTTCATTTAGATAAATTGTTAGATAAATCTAAATTTGATTTGAGCTAAAACGTAATTGATTTAAAATATCGAATTTTTACATTTTTGACACATCTTTGATTTTTATAACGCGAACTCTCATTAGTATAGTAATATGACAACCGAACTTTTGACCTGGTCGCTGACACGGATGCTAATCAAGAATGATGAACGTAACCGCATTAAGCGATAATATTTGATGGTGCTGCAATCATACGAGCTATTTTGAAGCAACTGATGAAGAATTAATGAAAACGTTTCAATTTCTGAATTTGGCAATGCTAAATGTCACACGAGTCGCGTGCAATGATTTGTAACGAAATTCGAATATACCAGGGATAATTGATGTCGATTAAAGTTAAATTACATTTCCTGAATAGTTTTATCAAAGCGGTCGATACATACCGTAATCGATAACTCTCGATATAATTTTGGATGGAAAAATCCATAAAAGAATTTTTTAAATAAATTCATTAAAAATTTAAGGCTCTAATCATAGCACAAGTTTTACATTTTTTCTAAATTAGACGTACTTACAATGTGTTAAGAAAATTCATAAATATATAACGAAGAATTCTTTAAAAACTGTAATAACTTTGCTCAGCGATAAGAAATAACGAATGTAGTAATTCAGTGCACTAACTATGAATATAATGCATTAATAGCGAAAATTATCATTCTGGCCATTGAAATAAATACGTACTTGGCCTATTATTTCCCCCACGCGCTTTCCTAGTCGCCATATCCATGAAACAACTCGACACGTAGGCACATTTCGCTCTATTTCAGCGAAATTAGCGACACCTGTTGTTGCATTCGCTTGCTGATAACTCATTCCATAATTTCCGAAAGTAATCTACCTTATCGAACTTTACCGTTCTACTTTATCGATATCAAGAAACAAAACCACATTACCTACAGGATTTTGCGCGAAATTAAAAAAATAGAGGATACAAGATGAGAACGATGAACTCTATGTGTACATCGTCTAAGAAGAGGCCGACGCCCCCTTTTCAAGGTGAACAACTCTCATGAGAGATTACAACATTTTTCTGTAGAGATTTTTATTCATATTTTCTTCTCCCATTTCAAAGCACTAGTTTAAATAAACACTTTGTGGTTTCTTTCTAATAACGGGTTACTACGATTTTGGTGATTTTAGTCATCATAAAAAATGGTGATATTAACGCAGATATAAATTACGTATTTCCAAAGTATTTTAATATACTTATTATTCCTAGCAAATGTTCTTCTGCATAAAATTATTACTATATTGTATTTGAAAGCTTTAAACCACATATTCAAATTGAAAATATTCTTCATTTATCTTATTCAACGTAAAATAATCGCGAAGAAGCAGAATGAAATATTATGTATGTACAAGAAAACACAAACATGCAGAATAATAGAAAACAATTATGAAACAATATACTACTGAATGAAAAAGTTATGTCACTATCACTTACCATTGAAAAGCATTGAAGTGGTAGTAAACAAGCCCTTGACCATATAAAAATGAAGCATCTTTCCAATAGTCCCCTTTTAAGGAGTAAAATTTTTGATATGCCGACATGGCTGTTGAAATTAAAAGAAATGTAAAATATTGTAAATGAAAAGCAATAAAAACTTATCACAAACAATTAATTACCTTTACTATAATCTTCTAAAAGTAAGTGAAAATGCCCTAGTTTACAATATGTTTTAGGATCGATACTAATTCCTTTGTCTTCGTCATCGTCCTTTAATTCATCAGGATTCATTTTTGTACTATCTGCTTTTCTACGTTGCTTTTCAGCTTGTGCTTGGACTAGCATCCTTTCTAGATATTTAATCGCACGAACAACTAAAGCTTTTTTCTTTGTTTGCTCCGGTGAGTTTAATTTCAAAAACCCAAATTGTCGACTGCACACATATTGAAAAAATACATTGGTTAATTAAAAAATTATAATAAGAACCTCTTATATAAGCACAAACGACACTGCACATTATTTATTGTTGCTTTATAGTAATTTTTAACAAAGTACACATAAACAAGTAGCTCACATTAATACTTTCGTTTATATAACGTTATAAACACATTTTCATGTGTCAGCCAATATATTAAAGATTACGAACAAATACATTATGAATTATAAAAACACAATGACATTTTAATCATATTCGTTGTATTCAAACGCATGGAAAAGGATGTCAGTGGGGAACAAAGCGCTTACAAATGAACCGATCAAATTACGCGCCTATTCTGTCAAACAAACTTTTAGGTTATATTTTGATAGAAGAGCGAGGAAACTACGATTGATATAAAGCAAAGTAAGAGATCAAAATGAGTTTTATTAGAATAGATTTTATTCACTTCAAAATCACCTGTCTAATTCAGATAATATCTGTAATTCTTGAGGGGTCAAGTTGATATCGTCAGTATCCTGGGCCATTTTCGTGCTCGGTAAATATACTCATTAAAAACAGAAAGGACACATGTTTGCACTTAGAACGGGCCGCTTTCTACGAAAATCCGAGAGTTTTCGCAGTTTATACTCTCGACACCTCGTCACCTCATCGGGACGATAAGTTTTTAAAAGCGGCGATCAGGTTAAATCAGGATGGCGAATCACGCGACAGAAGGCCATTATCATGGTTCACGTCGACATGTAATTCCGGTACCAAAGAACATTATTCTCCTAAACGTCTCAAAAGCGCGCGAAAAGTTAAACAATTTGACCTATATATTCTGATGCATATGGAAACTTGTTTAATTCTCAACTTGTTAAAATATAATTCGAGTTTATCAAGTCATTAAATCGATAAAGGTAGGTACTCAAAAGATAATGATAATAAATAGACCGCAAATTTTTATGCAAATGCATATTTCTGAAAATATAATTAAAAAAGAAAATCGTAGTAGAAAATTATTTTACCTTTATAGAAAGCACTATATTTTGGATATTTTATCCTTTTTTTCGTGTTATGTGCATTCTGCGCAAATTTATGCCTTCAAGTTTTCTATAAATGTATAAAAATCCACAATACAATAATAAATTTAATTTATTATAATGAATATATAAAGGTTAGGAACCAAACCTAACAAGAAATAAGTAATGAATAATAAATTGATCGAACTTTTATTATTTGTAAAATCTGATAAAATCTACTACTTAGATTTTCGATTTTTCTAAGAAATCACTCTAAGATTCGAATAATTAAAAAAATTATTTTAGATTAAAATTATTCTAATTAATATTATTTATCTTTTTAATCCTTAATCCTTTAATTCACAATATGGCATATCAATTCATACATTTTTATATTATTAAAATATCAAATATTATAGACGGTTACTTCGTGATTTCGCTGTTTTAACGTCTTCGTCACTTTTTGAACTCGAACGATCGTTGCAGAGTACCAGAAATTTTGTCACATTGATCTAAGCTCAAAGGCATTAATTTTATTTAAATACTTCGGTAAACGAAGAAATTAGGTGAGCCTTGCATATGTAAATACTAACCGCTATGAAATATTATGTAATTTAAGGACACATCTGAAATATATCATGTCCAAAGTGTACAAGAAAAAAATCAAGTCAGGAGCAACAAAATTATTTAAACGGTAGACAGTTCTCGTTTTTCACTGTATTTCGAAATGTTTTGTTTCTATTTTTGATATTCTACCTACACGTTGTATGATATAACGTGTTGATTCGAAATAAATAATAATTTATCGTTCATTGACATTCATTATTGCAATTTTTGAATAATGCAGTCATCGATATATTTTTATTCTGACGAATAGTCGAAGAAAGACTAATAGTGTTATTTAAAGACGTGAAAATAGCGTTCATACATAATTATTTGCGTAGTAATTTGTAAAATAAAGTGATATCAAGGATATCTAGCAATATAAAGAAGGAATATAATAATTGACAAAAAATAATATTTTTAAATAAAAAAAATCATGTATATTAAAAAGTTTACAATAGTCCATATATTTTAAAATTGCTATATTGTAGTGAGAAATTTATATTGATATATTTTTTCAGTGTGAAGATGAATCTTCCAGTAACAAAGAAAAATAAAGATGATGCGAACAAAGGAGAATGTAGCTTAGATATTTCAAAGGAAACAAAAAGCATAATAGATAAAATCTTAGGAGATGTGAGCAAAAAATCTGCCACCAAACAAATCATTATCGGTACAACATCAGGATGGTAGGTGTTATAGATATATCAAAAATGTATTAAAACTTCTCAACTTCATTATATATCTAAGTTATTTACAGTTAAAATTAAAAAAAGATAATAACTGAAGAAAGATAATTTTAAATATCTAGAATACTTTTTGTTCTATATAATTACATGCAAAGAAAAGAACTCAATAACAAAAGTATCTAACTTTATATAAATACTTTGTATAGGTTGACTGGTTTTGTAACAATGAAAGTTGGAAAAATTGCTGCATGTGCAGTTGGTGGTGGAATTATAATATTACAGATTGCAGCACATCAAGGATACATCAAAATTAATTGGGATAAAATTCAAAAGAAAGCTGAGAAACTATCAGATAAAGTAGAAGAGAAGGTAACAGGTGAAGGGCCAAGACTTATGGACAAGGTAAAATTCCTAATATATATATTACAATTTTTATAGGTTCAAAATATTTAATATGTCACTATATATAAATATAATGTTAATATTATTTATAGGTAGGAACATGGTGTCGATACAATTCACTTGTGGCAACAAGCTTCATTGGTGGTTTCATTATTGGTTTAGCATCCTGAATGTGAAGCTATTAGTCGTGTACAGAAACATAAACGAACATTATATAGTTATTACTTACAATATTGACATTGTATGTTAGATATTATTTCTATCATTTTCACCATAATCATTGGTATTTAAAAACCAAAGAAACACCTATTATTATTTAAATTAGTAAGATTGTTTAAATCTTAAAAGGCTATTTTTATTTCAATTTTTTAATATATAAGTTTATTATAGCATGGATTTTTGTAGCATTGTATTTCATGTATATGTAATTATAATCTAACACTTCTGAGATAATGTGCATGCATTAAGAAGTTTTTACGCATTTTCTAACCATTATATTTTAATTATTGATTATTCGAGCATATATGCAAATTTATGCATTAACTCTTGTGAAAAAAAATAGCATACATATCATAGCAAATACATTGTAAAGAGTTAGTTATATCGAACAATAAATACAATAATTTAAATTTGATTAATTGGAATTTTATTTTCTTTTCGTATATATCATGAAAAAATTTTTGTTTTGGAAGTTGAAATATCAATACTTTGTACAAATTTATATATAACATTCTATAAATATGTTATTAATTGTTTAAAAATTAAATAAATTATATTAGTAATAAATTCTATTGTTTCAGGTCGAGAGATACGTTGATAGAAAGCTAGACAAAGCTGAACAATTATTGAAAAATGGTGAATCTCATACGCGCCGTTGGTACCACTCTATAACTGGTGATACCTCCTTTAAACCTACAGAATTTCACTTTTTCCTTGCATCTTTTGTAGCTGGTTTAGCATTTGGTTTTGCAACTGGCAAGTAGATTTAAGTATGCTGTATTCTGAATGCATATAAAAAATTCAGATGTTTACATTTCAAGAACAATATATAAAACTTCATAAAAATATACGTGGTAAGATATAAAACCGGAACTTATGTTTTGAAAATGCTAATAATTAAGCACACCTAACAGTACATAATATAATGAAATTTTACTTCATATTTATAACTTAATAACATTTTTTTAATACTTTACTAATTTATGTTACTAATTTAACATTAATAACATATATTTTTTATTAATACTACATTTGCCATTTTGTAACATGTAGATTAATTTTTCATTAGTTAAGTGATAATATAGATACTATAAAATGTATTGAAATAAATACTAAAATTCGTTTTGCATTCAGAATGTAGCAAAAATAGTGCAGTAATTTTAGGAAGTATATTTATAAAGCATAGAAATTAATATAATCTTATATTAACAATATTAACAAATGGTATAACTTTTTTGTATCATTTTTCTATATTTAATTAGATCTGTGAAATATATTCATATAATTTCGAACTCCCACAAAATTTTTTTATAAAAATATTGTTATTTAATTTATTAGGTAAATAGTATTATTTAATTAGTATCTTATCAAAAATACAAAATGGACACAGTAGTATGAAATAAAAGACACTGTTAAAATAGAGTACTATAAACAAATTTTCCCTCAAATGATGTGTTCTGTCTTACATATAACTATAAGTTATATGGTTTTGAATAAGATGATATAGTATTTTATAATATTTTTTCCGTAACATTTTTTGCGTAAGATTTTTAATGAATTCACTCAAGTATTTTATGACATGAAAAGATATAAATGAAATAAATTATGTAATACTGCCATGCTCTTAACTATTGTATTTGTAAAGATTATGTATAGATCGACGTGTATGTATATATGTATATATAAGATGTAATGCTTGCTTTGTTACAAAATATTACAACAGTAAGTGCGAAGTTTTTAATTGTAACCATTGAATGTAATTATTGCATTATAAGGTAACTGAAACTATTTTATACCAAGGATTTTATTGTGCTATGCTATGACAGCGCTTGCTATTTTCATTCTATTTTCTCAATACTATATATATAATTATGTATATATGATTATTTTAATCATTAGTAAATGAGTCAAACAAACATAAATATTTAAAATGATCGTTGTACGATCGTAAGATTTCGCGTACCTTTTGTAGCCTCTGAAATATTATTTTGTAACACATTAAGTTTCACATCCTATATATGCAAGATAAAGGCAAGAAGATATATTAACATATATCTTTGTAGCTTATGATTAATCGAAAGTACTTAGGATGAATATTATTCTGTGTGCTATATAAGTCAAAATCTCACTTATAAATAAAACTAAATTATAATAAAATTGTAATTATATAAAAGAATAATAGTATTTACTTCTTATTTTAAAATCTCTTAAGGCACTGCATAATAATAGTCCTTAATCGTCTCCTAATCTTTTGGTCACCGTTACAAAATATATGTGTCGAATTATCCCCTATTTGAATCAAAGTATCTTCATCTTGCTGTAAACACGAACAGTAAAATAAGAATAAATAAAAGAAAATTTTATATTTTAAGGAGGAAGTATTTAATAAATTCTTACTAAATGAATACTGGTCGCAGTTGGACTATGTTGTAACTTGGCTCCTTGAATACCTTCTTGATTAAGCTTTTGAAGGAGTTCTTGTGGATCCAAATTGCCATACTCATGTTTTCTTTCTTTAAGAACTTCTTCCTTAATTGGTGCAGGTGAACTAGAAGACGCTTTACGTTTTCCACTAGGTCTATCTTCAATGCTCTAATAACAAAGTTTGTGGTTAATGAAACATGTTTTTCAATTATATGCTTATTAAATTTCATTTTAATAATACATACTTTTATTGTGTATACGTTATCCTTAACTTCCAGTTCACCAGTAACAGAGGCAAGACTTAAACCAGGACGAATTTCATTAGGAATTATATTTCCAGCTAATTCAGGCTCAATAAACACTCGTCCTTTCTTTCTTTTTAAAGGCAATTTTATAACTTCACCTCTTTTGAAAGTGATTAAAGGTTTTTCCTTAAATGTAAAATAAGTTAATAATTAAATGAAATAATCTACATATAACACATCATTAAAAAAATACACTTACCCCTACAGGTTCTATAACAAGATCTGTTCTATGTGGAGCAGTTATTGGTGGTTGTGTATAACACTCAGGTATAACTAAATGTTCTGGTTTCAAATCCCTAATTAATTTATTAGCTTGAGTAAAATTAAGAGATGTGTCAATTGGACAATGCACTGCTTTCATAGCTAATGGTTGAAATGGTGCCAAAGCATCTAAATATGGAAAATCTGGTTCTGAAATGATAATTATTGTCTATAAAATTTTTTACAAATCACATCATAATAATAATCATATATATATATGACGAATAATGTATTGCAATATATTATAAATTATATTTAATATAATATATAACAATAAATATACCTGTGAAAATTATGGTATGTTGTGGATTATTACCCCATAACTGAACAAAATGAACTGCATCTCCAAATCTAAGACTGGGATGACCACAAAAGACAACACAAGGTTGTCTATAATCAGAACTAAAACCTTCAGCATATATAGATGTAAAATGTTTTAATCTGGCATTTTTAACAAGAAAAGCATGTGGAAATGGTTCCTCAGGAAGATAAACTTTATTTTGTTTATTTGTTGACAACCTGCAATAATTTTAAAATAAATAATTTAAATAGTCCTGATACTTATTTATTTAATTTAAAACATACCATTCAGCTAAAATATTTGAATATGCTAAAGATGTTTCAGCTACTGGTGATATAAAAAATAAAGGAACTTGTGAAAAACCAGACTTATCCAAATGAGTACTAAGGCATTCAAATAAATCGTATACAACTCCAGATGGATAACACGGTATTAAAACACATCCGCCAGTTCTGAGTGTTATAGCTACAAAGTTGAATTTCAACATACAATATACTAAATTATTTAAATGTTAAATAAAGTATATACAATATAATAAAATTCTACCTACCAACAGTCATACACAGTTCTCCAAGCATAGTATCTGGATTTGCAGTAGGTGTTTGAGTTAAACCAGTTAATATTAACATATTAGCATGTTTCAAAGTAGCTTGTTCCATAGGCCGAGGATGTGTTGTCAATGTTGAGGATCCACTTACAAATGCAACCTTTTCATGGTCACATGAAATTAACCAATTACTGCTACCCAAACAATATCCGGAGCTTATAGGAGTGACTGTTAATGCACCATATATATCCTATGAGAAGTAAAGGATTTATAAATAACATTAAATTATATAAATATTCTTATAAACATTATGCTAACTTGCCAATTTTTGATCATATCCAACTGTTTGGATATATGATAAAGAAGTATTAACTGCTGATATCGAATATATATGTTTCCAAGATTTTGGCTTAAGAGCATCAGCTAATGGAGGAGGTAATACATGTAACATTTCCTTCCAATGTTTGGCTAATGTAGCTTTCGGAGTTTGTTCAATGAATTCTACTAGTTCCTCCATAAAGAATCGTCCAATTTGTAATGTTGGTTCCGTAGCATAAATAATGCCTTTGAAACCAGTGTCCTCTGTTATAAATGGCAGAGCCAACATACAAGTATAATTTGATATCAAAATGGCATCAATTTCTGAAAAGTCTACTATTTTCTCCAAAGGTGGAGAAAATTCAGGGGTCGAATCTACAAATACTCTGCCACAACATTCTTTTAGTTCCTACAAGATTGAATGTATAATACATATTATTATATATTGTATATGAAGTATAAAATTTTAAATGATTATATGCAAACCCCTTCTATTTGCCAATCTTGATGATTATCCCGTGGAAGCCACAAAGGTAAAGAATTAAATTTGGTGCTGGGAACCATAGGCATTGGCATGAAATGTAGTACAGATTGCATATTTAAACCGCAATCTAACATTAAAGTAATTCCTTTGAAACTTAGAACCAAACATGGTTTTGTTGGTTCACTCGATAAACAATACTATAAATATAATGAATATATTTTAAATGTATCTATTATAAAAACATATCTAATTAATAAAAATTAATAGATATAATATTTGAATAGTTTTAATTAGGTTGAGAAATATTTATAACTAAAACATTTGGGAAAAGATTAGTAAAAATAATCTTCATAAATTAAATTTAATCTTCATAAATATGCTATTATATTAAAATATTAAAATAATTATAATTACCAGTTTCATCTTAAATGTTATATTTTACGCTATCGATACAAATATGAACAAGTATGTTTTGATCCGGCATATATATTAAGAACATAACCACTAATGTAATGTATTTGCTAATTCAAGCAAACTTGTATAATTTTTCCATTTAATAATACTGCAATAGATTACATTTATTTGTGTAGAATATACAATATATATTGTAATATAGAATTACAGAGAAATAAGATCTAAAGCGTAAAAACACTCTTCTAAATTTAATTAATGAAATGGCCGAGGTTATTGTATTATTTAATGGTTATTCTACAAAACTTGGCAATGAAATAATGAAAGCCAATTGTTCTTGTACATTAATAAAGGCATCGAAGAATATTATCGTTGATACTATGACAGCTTGGGACCGAGAAAAAATAATACAAGGTGTTACTGTTTATCTGACGTTTCCAAATTTTGTCGAAGCACTTAAAAGAAAATTTTATTTCAGCACTTTTTAAACATAATATTACACCTGAAAAAATTGATTATGTCGTATGTACTCATAGTCATGCCGATCATATAGGAAATAATAATCTTTTCGTAAATGCGGAACATATAATTGGAACTTGTGTTCACCGTGGTGAACTATTTTTCAATAAAAATTTTAAAGACGGTGATGTTTTTAGAACATACTTTACAATAAATTTATATCAATAATGTAAAATTAATAAATAAAAATTATAATTACTAAAATATATTACACAGGATATAAAATTTGCCCAGAAGTTAAAGTTATAGCAACCCCTGGACATACACCGGATGATGTTACAGTTTTAGTTGAAACTACAGTTTCTGGGAGATCTACATGTTTTGCTATTACAGGTTTTATTTTTTAAAATGAACTTTGTAGCATCATAAATAGTTTATGTACATTTCTATATTGTTATATATTTTACAGGAGATTTATTTGAAAAAAAGGAAGACATATCAGATCCATCGATTTGGAAAGAGTTAGGAACTATAGAATTACAAAAAACTCAATCACTTATGCGATCTCATGTAGTAGATTTGGCAAATCTTATAATACCTGGACATGGGCCCATGTTTGCTGTTACTGATGACATGAGAAAAATTATTAGGAGTCAAATAATTCTATAACATCATAATGTATATATGAAAATATACATTTCTGTAGCTATACTCTGTATATTTTGTAACAAGAATTTTATTTATTTGTAATATTTGATTAAGTCTTACGTATACTCACATTGTTTTTACAAATACTTTATTAAACACTGTAAAGTGTAGTACATAGTAGACAGTATCAGATAGTATCACAACATTATTATATATATATTATTATATTATATTATATATATATATATATTTGTATACATTGCAATGATTATTACATATTATTTAATTCACAAATGTTTAGAAAAAGAGCATTTAAATAGCTATGTGCTACGATCCTGCTTGTTATGCAATATCATAATAAGTCAAGTAGTATTTTGTATAATTAAAAAATAATTTACTAATTTAAATATAGGTAATTGTAGAAAGAATAGCATACACATGTTGTAGATATATTTTCTTAATATGCTGCAATTTGAGTATTCACTTTTAATATTTAAACTACATATTCAAATATTTTTGTTGTGTTCACAGCCAACATCTAAAATAAGACTTCACATACTTTATTCATAACTTTCATTTTTCATGTTTTATGAATAGTTCAAATGTTACTGATAATAAATCATAGTTGAATATACTTGTACATTATGTACACACATTTAATGTTGATATATAAAAAATTATATAAGTAGATACCTGACAAATATATGTGCCATATGTAACAAATATGCAATTATCAATAGCACTATAAGATTCTGAAAAATAATTACAGTACATTTTCCAGATAATGCTATTTTATTTAATTCTTGTATTCTTATAATTTGTAATATGTATTTTGTACTGTTCTGAGAACAATACTGTATTATATGTCATTTAAAATATGTTAAAGTTTTTACTTATAATCATTTTCACAGAAGAATTTTATAATTTATATTGTAATTTTTGCGAGGATTGGCACAGTTTATAATTTCTGTCTATAATAACCTTTCCAATAAATTGTTTTATGTTGATTGATTTAATTTTTAGACCACTTATGCATATACAATTACAAATTATAATACAAATGGTATGTATTTATGTTGCTATCGCATGTTAAGTGTCCTGCACCGTAAATGCAAATATTATTATATATGCCAGCAAAATCAATTTGCTGAACAGAAAATTAAATTCTTCATCCAAACAAAGTTAACTTTAAATTATTGCAAGGTACATCCAAATATAATAATTTAAAATTATGTTTTCAACATAAGAATATTAAAATTCAATCATATTAATTTATTGTCATTGTATTGATGTAACTATTTTTTTCAGAGTTTATTTTTATATTTAATTTAATTTTACAAATTTAAAATTTCTGACAAAACATATTACTTCTTATTCCTCTTTTGTCACATTGTGTTATGAATTATTATATTCAAATGCATAATGCAACTGTTAGTTGGTGTCACAATAACATATTTAATTCAATAACGTTTTAAAATAAATTTTTCTGCAATAATTACTACAAACCAGGACCTCCACTGAATTATAAATTATATACCAAGTGAAAAATATAAGTTATATTTATTGATTTTCATATAATTGATTCGTTGGTACTGCATATAACAAAACTTTGTTACATTTAGTACAACCAATAAATGTAATATATATGTTGCTATAACATAGTAACATATAATTCATATATATACACACATGCATATAGATTATGAAAGATTTTGTCAATAATTTTGTCAAGACTTATTCATGACAATCAAAAGATAATAATGTAATAATATTAATTATAAAATGAAAATAATATAAGTTACATTTATTATAATAGCATACACTCACATTTCATTAACAACTTATATGATTTATTTTTTATAATATCTAAATGAAAACAGCAAGTAATAGAAATATCTTCCAAATTCTACTTATGATGAATAGTATTAGATATAATAGTTTGCACAGATTTTTTAAGCTTTTCAAATAAATACATTTATCAGTTGCACATATAATATTACACATAAAAAGGTAAGTTTATTTACCAATATCAATTAGTCTCTATAAATGTTTGCCGACCAAACCTGGCAAGGCGACGCGTGTGTGCAATGGTAGTGGTCCCGGACTAACTTCTCCCATCACAGTTCCCAGCTGCCCCACAAAGTATTAAATAGATCAAGAATTCATCTTTAGATTCTTACACATTATTTAATATACCGAATAAAATTATTATTGATTTTGTATATGTAAAATTTCTTCATAAAAATCATTGCGACAAAATCAGTAATGTGTACAGGTTTAAGTCAACATCTAAGAATCTACTTTTATGCAAGTACCATAATTAGAATAAATAGACTATCAAATAAGGAGAAGGTTTATTATTTACTGATGATTTCTTTTCATAATTTAGTAATGTAGCAAATAATTTTTGTAAGTTCAGTGTATCTAACAAATATATTTTGTAATTTTTTTCCTTCTCCCTATCATTTATTCTTTGTATAATACTTACATTCAATCTTTTGTTGTCAATGTCATTTGTTATCCAAAATATTGGATAATACTTCCCAAAGAAAATAAATACCAGGAAAATATAATTAACATTTATAGAAGCTATAATACAATAGTAATATGTAATATTTGACACCAACATTGCATACGCACATACCTATGTCATACTTTTCTCATTAAGTATTATCTGAGATGTTGATTACAATATATCAGAAAGCATGTTTTGTATCATTTGAAGAAATTAAAATTTATCTGGTATCAAAATTAGAGAATGTTAGAAATTAAACATACCGAATTAGAGTCTGTGTGAAATAACATATTAATGTTAAGTAATATAAATATTTATGGCATATTGTACAACAAAGAGAGTAATTACTTAATGCTTAAATCAATGCAGCCAAATTCCCCCAAAAATGTATACAACTTCATAAATTATATTAGATTTACTCTTATAAATGTATTCTGTTTGGAGAGCTCCTTACATGTGTCTGTGGAGAAACCAAATATAAATAAGCAATATATGCTGTAAAAATATTTAAAAAATAAAAATAAATGTAATAAAAATAATACTTCATACAAAAATAAAAAATAATTTACACAGAACTAAAAACTTTTTCCTCTAGAAAAATATGAACATAATTGCAACATGTTTATCATTATTAAAATAAGTTATTTGCCGATTGCACAATAGTATAATTTTTAAAAAATTCTGAACAAAATATTAATAATACTCTATTATAATTTATTAAAATCTCTTCTTTAAATATAAAATATATAAAATTGCAAAACACTTATACAATTCATTTTTTCTTGACCACATCAATAAACTACACCAAATAAAATTAAGTACATGTGCACTAAATCATATGCAGTGCTATTTAAAACTTACACCAACAATTAAATGTAAACAAAAGTAGTATAACTATATAGTGAGAAATATTGGTAAATAATGTATAGAAAGCAGATGTAAAAGATTATTTTTCCTGCAGAAATTACTTGTTACTAATAGCATAAGTAGTGTGCAAGCGGCAACTTTTAGATAGCATTTCTGATATAAAAATTGATGCCTGAAAAGTAATTTGGTTTCTCAGGCTACATGCAATAACATTCATTAAGTGACAGACATAAACCAGATCCTTCTCCAATATTGCTATGAATAAATAAAATGTACGAAAAAAAAATAAATTGTAGAAATGATAGGACAATATTTGCTTCATAAACCTCATAATGATATTAATGATTTGGTGTTAATGAAGTATAATGATATTTAGAAAGCTTTAAGAATTTCAGATTAATGAATTGAACACTGAAAATTATGTTTAATGTTCAATTACAATATGTTTAAAAATTTTAGTAGTTTTATATAAACTTTTAATATATATATAGATCAAAATTCTATCAGACTCTTTACTATAATTATTTTACTTATGTTAATACTTTCAAAGAAATCACAATATGTACATTTTAAAATTTGTTGTTTATGTGCTATGTGTCTTTTGATCTTTGTAATTTGCGTTTACATTAAAATACATTATATTTTGATATCAAGAAAATAAAAGGTGCGATACAGATATTTTGTTCTATAATATTAGTCTAGTTTTAAGACTTAAAAGAAACACATATATTAAACATAACAATTTTAAATAACATTTTATAATTATGAACATAAATATAGAAAGTATAAATATGATGATTGATCTTTAAATAATAAATAAATACTATACATCAGATTTTTTAAATAAGAAAGTAATTTTTTGTAAATCTGCAAAGATTCAGAAATGTTAACTAGTAATGTAAATTCTGTTTAACATTAATGCAAAAATTAAAGGTATTATTAAAAAATTTTAATATATACAAAATAATTATTTTTAATAATTACTCCTACCCCCAAGTATAATATACAAAGCATTTAAAAATAATCTTCTGAAAACATTATTTTCAATGGCTTCTGTCTCGTTACAATGTTCTTAACGGAATAAATCCTTCCATTCCAATGATTCTTAGGTCCTCATCATCATCATCATTTCTTTTTCTCTAAAAAAATCGGTAAGAGCGCGATCAAATGTAGACTAAAAAATTTGCTCTAAATTGATAAAAAAGATATATATATATACACATACATATATATACATACATATATATATATATATATTGGATAAAAACACAGGTTTCTCACATTTCAGTTAAATGAATAAAAATATTTTGAGTGTTCTTAAATATTATTTTAATAATAGACATTAAACATAATTTTCGAAGAAAAAAGATTATTCATAAAAAGAAGAAATGAAATGATCTCTTTAACACTTAATCTGTTATGTGGATAAGGAAATGTCAAATTATAGTATTACACATATTTCGATTTTGAATAAATTTTTTCGAATAAACTCATTAATTCTTCACGTGTTTCTTACAAGTAATTACTGATAGTTATATATAGATAGAATAGTTGCATACATTTACTGCATCTGTAAAATAACTTTAGTAAGAAGACTATATATAGATTCATGCCTATATAATAGCATTTCAACTTCAATATATTTTATATATGATTGATTTTTGTCATTATAAAAACATTGTTAGTATTGTTAATAACCCACAAACCTAAATATGACAGTGATACACAATATTTTATTTTTATATTAACAAGATTTTATTTGAGTAATTAGTGTACACTTATGGTATATTTCATAAATGAATAAACTTCAGTATATATGTTAATCAGTTATACAAATGTGTATCATTGCATATCTACAGTGAAGAAAAATAAGTTTTTCATGCATATTCTATACATTTTATATGAAAGGTTTCGACATAAAGAATTACTTATTACATTGAGAAGATACTATAAATAAGTGAAACCTATACAATTGCTAATATTGAAAACTTCTGACATTAAGTAGAAACATATATTACACCTAATACTAAAATGTTACTTTCATATAAAATGGAAAGGCTATGTTGTACAAGTGTTTTTATGTAAATGGTATAACGAAGAGATAATTTGAAACAATGTTTAAAATATAATTACATGAAAATTAGGTATAAATGATAAACTCATTCATACCAATGTAAGAAATATTTTCATACATAATTTTTATACAAAATTCAAATGTTTTAATTCAAATCCAGTACTTCTACCTTCTGTGTAAATTAAGGATTACATAAGGTTCATCTGGATTAGTGACATCTGTGCTGTTAGGCTGATAGCACGGATTAATAGTGTAATTGAGATTAGGTTGATGAAAACTCACCGGTTGAATACTACTCCTTCGACGTTCCAGTTCACGATCTTCGAGACAAAAATCTGAATCTGAATCTGCTTTTCTAACAGCTTCATCCTAACATAAAAAACACAAAAAATACCTAACATCTTTACTGTTTTAACTATTTTATCAACAGTTTTAACAAAATAAACATTTCTAAAATCATATATTGTACCTGTGTCATTTGTTGTGTTGTTGTAAGAATCCTGGCTAAAGGTGTGCAACAAACTGGTAATGTTTCTAGTAATGTAGGCCTGGAGTGAGTTAAAAGTGGTTTCATGTAGCGAGTATCAAAGTCACCCCAGATTCTAGCAAGTAATGCTTTTTCATTAGGTTTTATGCCACTGCCTGGTAATGATCCATCCTGCATAGAATTATACTGTGAAATGTGAAGGATATTTGGATTATCCATCCTGTATGATAATGATATCTTCTTTCGAATGTAATTAAGTATAAAATTATACTTATCAAAAATATTTAAAAGATCATGACAGTTTAAATAATTTATTAAATAAGAATTAAATGAATAACTTTAAATTATATATATAAAAATAATTGAAGAACCATAGCACATATTATACAGAAATTCTACATCAAGATTAATTAACTTTTTATATCATAAAACACTTAGCATTATTATTAAGTATTAAAAACATGCTTAATTGTTTATCTTTATATTGGTATGCCTTGTTAATTATGTTTGCATATGTTTTGTTAATGAATGTAAATGGATATGTATATATTTTATACACTACTAATCATCAACATACAGAATGGATAACAAAAATGATACAAAAGGAAATATTGAAGCACATGCAATTAGCAAATCAAACTGATGTTTAATAATGAAAATAAGACTAAAATTTTCTACATATATAAAGCAATAATTACATTGCAATTAATTTTTATTATATATACATAAATAAATAGAAGCTGAATTTTTAGTTTGCATGATATAAACACAAGCATCTATAAATTTGTTAGCAATATCGCTTTCAAAATGTTAAATCTTAAATAGAACATATTTTACAAATCTTTAACATAAAATAATAATTTCTGTGTCACTTTTGAAACTAAATCCTACCTTTAAAAATCGTTAGTATGTATTAATAGATATTAACATATTTATAATTCAATATTTAAGTAATATTAATAACAGAAATATTTATTTTGGTATCATTGTATTATTTTTGACAAACAATAATTCAATTAATGTAATATAACAATTAGTAGTCATTGCAAGCATTTTAATAAGATAATTTTTATTAAATCCCTTATTAAATACCATAATTTGATTATTTTGCACATCTGTACTAATGACAGAAAGCAACTCAGACAATACTACTTATAATGTACAAAACTATTTATATGTTGCATAGTCATGTAAGAGAAGATTAAATAACTACAAAAGTCTATAGCATCAAATTAATCTCAATGTAATAAACATAGGAATTTATATATTTATATAACAAGTTAAATGTACGAATTATTTGTTACCATATAAATAGCATAATTCAATTTTTGAATTAAAATGAAAACATACCGGCGGACTTCTCTCCCTATGTATGTCCAGATCTCCAAAGCCACCTTCGCCACCAGACTATTAACATTAGTACGTTAAATTCTAATCTTTTTATAATATTATTAAGCGAAATTATTTAGAATTAACCAAGCATTTTTACCAACTTTGTTACAATGTAATTAGACATGCTGGATTTTCCAAAAAGTTAAGTTCTAGTGCAAGCTATTTATGATTTTAGTAGTTTTTGTGCAAGAGTAACCCAAGGTTACTTAAGTGGAACTAGAAAACAAACATTTGCAAGTATAATCTTTTCGGATGTTTTTCAAACACAGAAATAAAGATTTTAAGAATTTTTAGTAATAGTGTATAATATTAAAAGTGCACACCACAATAATTCGGAATATAATACTTGGGAATACATAAAGGATAGAAAATATAACAGTATGAGAACAATTTTGAAGCATTCATGCGCAAATATTCTTACATTTTAATTTTTATAAATAAACTATACTCCTGAATAATTTAGATTATTTTATATTCAATAAATGATTTTTTATATATTGTGAATAAATGGCCCAAAAAGTCAATAAATAAAATATCTTTTGTTTCTACTTATATCAAATAATCTTTATTCAAAACATGTATTAAAATAAATAAATTATAATCAATAACCAACATTCTGAGAATATTTTAAACCACTTCTAAACACTTAAAATACTTCCAGTTTTAATAATAATGATTTTAAACATTGACACAGTGGACCAATATACTTTTTAAATTATAAATAATATTGGCTATTAATTAAAAATCACTATACTTTTATATAGAAAGAGATGCTTTCTGGATATCAACTATAACTAATAAGATTTAAAGATCAACATCTAATAAAAACTAATCTTATTAAAATTTTGCGTCTGACAACTTTTGATGTACATTGTATTAACAAAAATTTATTTGTACCTTTTATTTAAATATATATTAAATAATGGATATCAGTGTTTCATTATCTATATTTTATAATAATGTATTTAATAAATATACATAAACCTGTAATTTGCACAAAATAAAAAAACCACTATAAGTTAACAAGCAACACGACTAGAAGTATATGCATGAAAAAGAATCTGAGAAGTTACAAAACATAATAAAAAATAATATACTTTTAAAACATATATCAGCCATAGATAACCTAAACTACATGTTATTGATAAATATTACTATACTTTTTATACCAAAAATACATAAAAAGAAACCTAGCACACATTATATGTTAGTACAAATTCAATTTCATATTATTTCTGTAAAATGAAAACTAATACATGACTTTAGAATAACTAAAAATACAAATGTAATACTTACACTGCGCATTCCATTGTGTGATAATCCTTCTATTTCTTCATCTACTCCAACTCTGAAAGAAAGTAATTTATTTAAATAAATAAATTATAAGAGAAAAATAATAAAAAAGATATCTTTTGCACTTACGGTATATTAAACCAGCTCAAAAACTGGGTTGTTGCGCCACCCTGGAAGATGACTGTCAGAATTACAATTAAACTCGTTGTTGTTAACATAGCCTGCCGAGCATCCGATACAGTATTTCTGATAGCCAGAGCAAAACTCATGGCTCCACGTAAACCAGCAAAAAATAACATATGCTGATAATTTAACGATATCTTTGGTTTTCGCGCTAAATTCAATATAAAAGATAATGGATATACATTGGCTGCCCGACCTAATAATGCACAAAGCTATAATAAAGTGGTTAAGGTTTCAATGTTACATGTATGTTTGATATATAATATATGAAGTTAAACATTATTAAATGATAAGGATACAAATCCTGCAAAAATAAATCCTGGATCGAAATGATGTTTCGGAAAAGTAAACATTGTAACACCAATGTAACTGAATATAAAGTTCTCAGCTAAAAAATTTAAAAGTTCAAACAATTGTTTCGTCCGTTGCCGCGAATCCGGACTTAAGTTATTATACGTGTAATGTGCTTGACAAATACCACAGAATAAGACAGCGACTACACCTGTATGTAAATAATTATTTTAAATGTTAACTACATTAGCAGAAAATATCTACATGAAAATTCAAGGTAATATAGGATTTTTATGAATATTACCTGTAAGATCAGATGCTTCAGCAATTAAGAATGTGCTATAAGACATTAAAACAAATAATGCTGATTCCAAAAGTGGAAAATCTCTGACTCTAGTAAATTTAGTTAACAAAGCAGTGATACAGCCCATGGTAGCACCAATAAATAAAGATAAGCTAAATATTCCAACAAAATCACCAAATGCTTGGAAAAATGCTACAGTTTCAAATCCGCCTGAACCTGATTGATAACGTTCTCCATAATTTTGTATGGCACTACAATAGAACATATAATTTATGTGTGTATTTGACTGAAACTTCTTGCTGACATTTGTAATGTTTTTATATACATACCCACTAAGTACAATTGCAACTGCATCATTTAACACACTTTCTCCAAATACTAAAGCATATAAATTTACATCTACATGTAAATCATTAAAAATAGAAATTATTGTCAGTGGATCCGTAGGAGATATTAATGCACCAAAATATAAGGTATCCAAAAATGTAAATGAAGCAGAAAGATGTGGTATTAATTGCACAAAGGCATACATCAAAGCTCTGAAAAGAAGACAAATAGTGTACATATCAGAGAAGAGTATAATTAAAAAAATATATCATTATATTACAAAGAATTTTTCCATTTATCTGCAGCCTATGAGGAAAACAACAGATATATTCAATCTAAATGACCTATGGACATAAAATTATCACAAGAAACGTTCCACGCAAAAACTCTACATAAATTTATTATTGTGACATGAAAGTAATTGTGTACTTATTAATCATACATACTTCTCATTAAAATCTGAAAAACATACCCAATAACAAAAGCTGATATAGATGTTCCAATTAAAGCATACATAAGAATTGCTCCTAAGTTTCTAAAGAAGTATTTCTGAAATAAAGAAATATCAAATTCTATGGTGTTTCATATTGTATTATATTATATGATAAATATAAAAAACAAATATACTATTACTTACACGTTTTAAACTATATCCAGCATGGAAAATGATTGGTGGTAAAATAATGTTAAAAAATATTTCAGGATCAAAGGTGGCCTGTTAAAATTTTATATTTTTATATAATAAGTTTTTCTACTGTCTAATTTAATTTTAGTTTAGTAGAAATAGAATAATTGTATTAAGTAATACCTTCAAATCTATCTCATTATCTTGCTTATAAATTTCTCCCCTAAATGAATAGGCAAATGTCTTATTTTTAATAACACCACCTCCTTTATCTTCTGGAAAACGTAACCATAAGGTATCTGGAGGAACTGATTGATTATATTTACTACTGTTGTCTGGCACAACAGGCATATGAAGAATGGTACTACTTGTTGTAAAACCATAACGAATTATTGCCCCTATAATTAATCCTAGAAAGACATATATGAATAATTAATTTCTAATTTCTTAAAAGATCTAAATAATACAATTATCTTTCATAATTTGTCTGTAGCTAGAATGTTTATTATGTAATTTTTATAAAATGATTATAATTTATATACAATTTAAAGTCATTAACAATTGATAATCAATACTTTACATGATGGTAAATTATTCTTTTTTAAAATTTTATTAAATCTTACTTTTTTATTTACATAGGTGTATATACATATAAAGATAAAATTGTATACATAGATGATGTAATATTTATAATGTAATATTTTTTATATTCGTAAAGATAGATAAAATTTAGATAAAATAAGATATTGAATAATTTTAGGAATCAGTTTCATTACTTATACTTTTCAAGGAGATGTTATTTTTATATAATCATAAATACAATTATTTATAAAAGTTATAGAATATTTAATTACGAATAACTAAAAGTAAATATATTCTTTTAATTTATGTATAGATAAAATCAAATCAGCTTATAATATCAGAATTTAAAAGCATACAAAAAAAATATCATATGTATATATAAAAAAATATATAGATCTGAGACAGAAAAGTATTTAATATGTGTTATATTTATGCAGTAATAAAATGACAAAGGGCCCTTTATAGCTATAAATAAAACTATAAAAATTTGCAAAACATGCACTTTATTATTACGTTTATACTACGTAAACATAAACTATAGCAGACGACTTACCGTAAATGACAGCTAGACCAGTTTCATGGAGGAACCTAAGACGACGATGCTTAAATGTCCATATTGTTAAAACAGTTAATATCAATAAAAATGTATATAATAAAAGATTTAAACTATCAAGTCTATGTAACAACTGTGCTTTTGCGTCTAATTCAATATCTGTCGCGGCTCCATTACATGATTTTAACAAGAAAATACATAAAATTCCGAGGAGGAGAATTCGTGCATCACCTCTCACTGCCATCTTTACTTTGCAACCATTTTCTGACCGTACTGTCAGTTCAGCAGTATGACCAACTGCGCATTCAATACAGTTGTTATGTATCGTTATAGTTAGGTGGCTCCCCGTAGCGTAAATTTTAAGAACTTTTATTTATTGACGCACGCTTATGACTCCGTGTAGCGCGCAAGTATGAATTTGTGCAGTAACGTAACCGAAACAACAATGAGCAAATGGATTTTAACAAAAGATTTATCGACTAAATGTCACAATTATTTATCAGTGATAACTATAATAATTCTTCATTTTGTATATTTACTTTTGCTACCATAATAAAGCATGTTGACAAGGCATAAATCGCTCGCTTTTCTATATGATTAACTCCAACCAAATTCATTTTTATTATCATTAATTAATAATAATTTTTCTTATTAGATAGTAAATAAATTGCATTTTGTTATCTAAAATCCAACAGCATAAATAGACCAAACAACGACAGAAGAGAAAGGATTGTAACGTAGAGTTCAGTGTTCAGACATATTTCTTAAAAACATAAAAATTGTAATAGTTCAAAGCTTATCTCAATTTGTAATTAGTTATCGAAATACAGGTATTTTGTTTTGAAGTTTATTTCGTCTAAATAAGAAGGAAAATTCAAAATTTTTACTTAAAAATATAATTTTATTCAATTAGGTATTGTCCGTTTTTGTCGATGACCTTTTGCCATCTTTCAGGCAGTGTTATAATTCCATGTTCATAAAACTTCTGACTTTTACCAGCAAAAAACTGTATTAAATGATCACAGCGCAAGATCACAGCTATATGGTGGATGTGACAACACATCCCAACCTATTTCCAATAATTTTTGGCGAGTGATCATGGCCCCAAAGATGTGTGGGGCTTTGGATTATCATGCTGGAAAACAACATCCATGCCAACAAACAACATGCCAATGCTGGCCGCTTTTCTTGAACTGCATCGCTCAGCTTGGCGAGTTGTTGAATGTACACGTTTGAATTAATCGTTTGGTTTCTTGGTAAAAGTTCAAAGTACAGGATTCCTTCATATTGACGAAATCATGGTAAAGGTCAACATACGGGTCTCACTAACTTCAACTAAACAGCCAAATCGTTGAATATTTTCCAGTGAAAAAACACGAGAAAGAAATTTGGCAAACAAATTTTGACGCCGCTTTTTTTTCGAGGCTTCATTCCCATATACGGTACGTAACTTCTTGTATGCTTGCGATGCGATCTTGACTTTTCGGAAATAATACAATAAAATATGTTTCAAATGCGCGAGGTGTTCTTTCATTTTTAAATTGAGATGAAAACGAAACTAAATAACTAATCGATACAATTTTTTTACTAAATTAAAGGTGGAAGTCCAACAACAAGAAAACAATATAGCTTAGATGCTTTGAACACGTTGACAAAACAAAAGAATATGCTAAGACCACCTATTGACAAAATCCGGATTCACTTAGTTGCCAACCCAATAGTATAGTTAATGGATTAATGACGTCATTACTCATACCGTAGAGAAATAAGGGAACAAATCGCGGACGTAATGCGGAAAGATGTAAGAAAAAATTTATTTCATGTGATACGAGCAAGTTGTAGAGTGATAGTAATATGATCTCATGTTATCGTTGGTGAGGGATTTTACTTGGCAATGGTAACCCTGGTCAGCGGTACTATATGGGTAACAACAATTCAGCCTGAAATTCCCCAAGTTCTTAAACGGCTGCACAACACGATCACGTCTTTGGTAACAGAATACCAAACAAATACCTGGTAAAATATAGTACATATGCACATGTACATATATTTTTAAAATAAAGTATCTATAAGTATATTAAAACATTATTTACTTTTTATAATGCAGTTTTATAATTGATGACAAAAACTAGGAGGAATTTCTTTTCTTGTAACATAAAATAAATACATATATGTATGTTGTGTGTTATCATACATGCGTTATGTGTACTATGATTCTATGGATTAAATAAAATCTACTATACTACTGTAAATTGTAAATTTAATAATCCACGTGTTTCACATTGTTACATATTATTACATGTCGTGTATTTATTAAATCTCATATAACGTGAATTAAATGTACTAATCAAATGTATTTTCAATAAAATAGTTTCATAATATGACAACCATATACATTGTGTGTACGTAATATCAGATTAAAGATACGTAATATGCATGAAGTTAAAAAGTAACCAACAAAATTTTAATAACTTTTAATGTGATAATGACACATCCTATGAACATGTTGGGTGTTGTCAAAATATACCAAAGGTTCTTAACAAGATATCCGTTACTCACTCAAGCGGTACAAGCGGGTAAAAAACATACATATACAGCATTTTTAAAATATCAAAAATTCTTTTATTATTATACATATATTAATAGTTATTTACATTTTTAAACGAATAGGTACGTTAATGGCACTTGGAGATCAGATTGCACAAAATCTAGTTGAGCGAAGAAAAATTAAAGATTTAGATTTTATAAGAACAGCTCAGTTTGGATGCATAGGACTTTTCCTTACTGTAAGTAAATTTGATGTAAAACTGCAAAAATGTTTGATTTTTATTTATAACATGTATGATATTGATTTACTAAAGCTTAATAATGCATATGATTGTAAAATAATAATAAAATCTATAAAGTAATTGATTAAATTGAATAAATTATACATTTGTTGCATAAGCTTTTATAAAATAAATTCCATTAAATTTATATGGCAGGGTCCTGTCACACGAACTTGGTATGGAATATTAGATAAATATATTGGCTCAAAGGGAGGAATTGTAGTATTAAAGAAGGTGTCTTGTGATCAATTATTTTTTGCACCTGCATTTTTAATAGTTTTACTATCAACAATTGGTATTCTACAAGGAAATGACTTAGAACAATTAAAAAAAAAATTGTATAATGAGTACCCAGATATTTTAAAAAGTAATTACAAGGTAACATATTAAGACAATATATATCTAAAAATATTTAAAAATAAATTATGTGGAAAGATTTGTGAATGAAAAATTTGTTTTAGATTTGGCCTATGGTACAACTATTTAACTTTTATTTTGTACCTTTACATCATCAGGTTTTAGTAGTACAATCTATAGCTTTGTTATGGAATACTTATATCTCTTATAGGACAAGTTCAGGAAAATAAAAATAAGAATATAAAATAAGTAAAAATTTATAAACATATTTTTTTAAATACAAATGTTAATACTATTAAATTTTGTTAAGTATTGTTCACAATAAAATAATAAAATTCGACTTTTGGGAAGAACTACATGATATTTATCATTAAATAAACAATATAGTATTATAACATAAAACAACAATAGCATCATAGACGATGTAGATCCCAAAAGTTTTTCGTTATAAATTTAAAAAAAATGTGTTTTTTTCTATATTATGAAGTACATTTGACCTCGAAGAAAACGATTGCTGTTTGTTTATTTCCTAAAATTGATGTATGTAGGACATGTTTCATTGTAATTTAGTAGTTGTTATTTATGTTTAAGCATATCAACATCATAATTTATATTGTATGTTTATGTTAAAATTTGTCCTCTAATTAAACTTCTATTGCAATGTAAACTGTTGCTTTTTACAAAAGTATATATTTTTTTAATGTACTGGGTATAATATCATTTTATGGAATGTTACCGTTTTTAGAAACCATGAAATCATTGGACGTGAACACACAATATTTTAAATGTTAAATATGTACAAAAAGATCTGAAGTGCACTAAAATAAATGAAAATTAAATCTATATTAATCATTATCTATTTAAGTCATTGTGTATCTATATTATATATATATATATATAATATATATATAATATAATATACAATATAATATATATATCTATTTAAGCATATTTAATCCATTGCCATTAACAACAATAATTCACATGGGAACCTTTTCCGCTTTTGCAACTGCTGCAGGTATAGTTTCATTAGTTTTTGATAGCATACACGTTCCGAGTAATTCTGGACACGATATTTCATTAGATATAATCTTTTGTACTTTTTTTAATAAGTCATAGTTGATGCGTTGTGTTATTACAGAATCGTTTCTAGATAATGTAATATAGGGTTAGAAATATAATAAAAATTTTCATACATTTTACACAGACACATACACACATATATACTAAATGACATACGTACTTGTACTCTGGGTGTGAAACAACTTCCTTCCTTAACCATGCAGCAGTCGTTAATAATTCTCCAGAAGCTCTTTTTTGTATGAATTTTATATATGCTTGTACAGTACAATGTGTATCCGCATCTACATCCATACTAGCTAAGTACGAATTTACTAACGGTATTAAACCCGGAAAAATACCATCCTGATACAAATAATATATTATAGGATATTTTTGAGATCTATTAATTGATTTCATTCATGAACAAAGTATTAATACCTTTCCATTAATAATTTCGTTAACAGTAAATTCTGTATACTCTGGTTGTCCATCATCTTGCTTTTTTGCGTCTGATGTAATATCTCGACGGAACCAAAATTTTTCTGCTGTAACTGCATTTCTCCTTTGTGCCCGAGCCATATTTTTATCAACTTTACTAATTGGTATCAAAAGGTTTAATTTATAACTTAAAATAACTCTTGTAAGAAGGACAATAAAACAAACTATTGCAGCATTTTCAAAATCCGTAATTTGAACTTCGCATGGACGAAATTCAACACGCCATCCTATAGGTGAATTTGGTGGTGGTGGCTTGAATCGCATAGTTTGCCAATTAGTTGATTGTATGTTCTGAAATTTTATATTTTGTGTTTGTATACAAAGCTAAATTTTTATAGATAAACTCAATTGATAATAATAATGATAATTACTTCAAAGTGATCAGTATCCTCCAAATCATTTTGATGGACTTTTTCAGAAAATAAAGATACAGTATCTCTGATAAATAAGTGAGCTATATGCTGTGCAAGTAATTTATCAATTCCATTATCTAATAGTTGTTTATATACTTCATCATCATATGTCAAGGGAACATCGTTATATTTTTCTCCTTGTTCACTAAGATATGAATCAATAGAATCATATCTAGATTTACTAATTCTGAATTTGTTTTCTTCCAAAGGCTTTAAGCCGCGTTCTTCTTGTGTTCTGCAGTCTACAGAGCAAGATATCACATTCCACCGGCAATCAACGTCGCTTATATATCCTCGATAAAATGGACTAGCAGCAGTTAGAGCCAACTGTCGAATGTTAAATAAATGTTCTGTAGAGTATGCATGAAAGAATATGCTAACTTCATGCCTTCAAAACTTATGAAAACACAATTATATTTTTACATGTTACTGACCATTATTGGACATAAAGGCGTTAATTGGTCGTATAATGTCCTTGCTTCCTCTATGTTACAAGCCTGAAAAGTAAGTTGTAGACAGCAACAACCCATTCCAAAACCCATGGCATCCATGTAAATATGATCTTCTCTTGCTGCACAACTTGATTCATCTTCAATAAAGGGACTAAAATCCTCTTTAAAAGGACTTGAAACATTTTTATCTTTATAAACTGCAAAGAAACACTTCATGTCAAGTTCTAACTGAATTTTTATGTTCATAAAAAGATACACATGTACAACTATTAAATACAATAAGTACACACTAGGAATGTTTATAGCAACTTTTTCTCCACGTCGTAGTCTTATATTTCTCGTTAATGTCTTAAATCGCGGATGACCTGGATATATAGCTTCATCTGGAAAAAATAAACTTTTTGATGCCCCTGAATTTGGAGTTGGATGTGTTGGAGGATCTGTGAAATCATATGCTCCTGTTCTGTAAGAGAATATTTAAGCTAACAATGTATTTCATACATATCAAATATAATAAATTTTGATAAAAATACTAACTTACATACCTAGGAAAATTAGTTAAAGACATTAAAACTTCATTGGGTTCAAGTAATTTTGAAGCTTCTTGCCTTCTATATCTCATGTTAGCTTCAACGACATTAAAATGAACTAATAAGCCACCATATGGTTTCCCTGGTGTGCCTTCTAACATATAAGCACCATATTCAGGTCTCCATAATGATTTAATATTGCTGTGAAACAAATTATTTAAATATTTTAGATTATTTTATCATTATTAAAAAAAATATAATTATTATTAAAATATATTGTTATATATTTAAACAGCTAACTTAAGATATATTTCAGTAATATTTGTAATTTACATCGATTGAAATTCTTTTTAAAAAATAAAGAATAAGATACTTACTCTGGATCATTATATTCTTTTTCATTTAATATTTTTAATATTTCTGCAGCTCTTAAACTAAGCTTTGCAGTTTTTGCTTTATCATCAAATTTAATAAGCATATATTCAACCTATTTAGAAATCACATTAAAAATATTAATAATTTAAATATGGAAGTAACAATGATAAGAGTAGATTTAAGAAATATGTCAATTTTTTATAAGTGGGCGATATATCAATAAAATAGAGTAAAAAATGTTGAATCATGTATCTAAGACTGAATTGTAGTAGGAGAAAACTCAAGGTCATTCCTTACAGTAGTTTAATATCTATAATTGCTGGAAATATTCATTCATTGCCTCTACAAACATTAATGTCGTAAAAATGTTATAAAAGTTCAAACAAATAAAAGTAATATACAGATAACAAATAGATAATGAATTAAGGTCTAAATTTAATTTTTTATCAAAATTATATTTTTACAATTGCACATGGGATATGATAACTACATCATTATATTAAATTAAAAATAATATAATAGAAATAATATTTATCAATAAAATTAAAATTATTCCTTAAAAATTAACATAAGTTAATAATAGAAGATATTGCGTGATTTGTATTTCTATTATTCCGTATGAAAATTACACGAAAAGAAGATAACGTGCTTCCTAATAACTTAGCATATATATGCAATAATATTATTGCATGACATTACGATAAGTGTTGATAAATGTCACATAACGAAAATGTAAAAAATAAATATTACCTCATCGCCCCATTTGAGTATATCACCCTGTCGATCCCTGAGTCTCTTGTATAGGTTAATGAATTGAATAATTCCATGTTTCCGAACATGGTCAGCAAGATTTTTCGTTTCTTCCCAGGTTAAAGGGCTTCCTTCGGATAGTAATCCCATTATTATACAGGACAATTAATATAAGCTTCTTTTTTTAATTTGACACTTGAAATAGAATTTCGCGCAAGATCGACTTAACCCGATTTCTGCCGAGTTATATCGAGGTACAATCTTAATTTCACGTTCACGCACGGAGAAACCGCCACAAATCCTACAATGAAATAAAGTATAATACTGCTTTGTAGACTAACTACAGTCTTTTATGAGTATCCCGTCACTTCAATGATATATAACTACAAGGTAATCATATCCTCCTACCACAACGTTCCGACTAGAAACACTTGGAGATATCGGCTTAAAATATTGTCAATTCATGTTTCAATTGATAAAACTTAGGTAATTGTATAGTAATAATTGTTTTCTTTAGATAGCAATATACCATTCTTTCCTTGAAAGATAATCATAATATAACATTTCTCTGGCCAGTCCAGATGACTCACGTGTGTAATTAAACAGATTAACCCCTTGCAATACAGAACGCGGATTCCGGTAGCCGGGTCAATCGTGGTTCATATGTATGTACTGTTAAGAACTTATTAATGCAGATTCTCTATAGTCGCGCTTATAGACTATAGTCCGCTACATATTTTATATCTTATCAGTTATATCATGTAACTTTTTTCTTAAATAGAAATGCGGTCTACTTTAAATAAAGCAAAATGAAACAATAAATTTGTAAATTATAGGTAAATGATACTCTAATTTAAGTAAATAAACATTACAGGCAGTATTATTTGTTACATAAAATTGTTTATTTATGTATAATGTAAATATAAATAAAAAAGAACTTGAATACAAAAGGACATTTGTTCTTAATCTTTACGTTTTTTCTTAAAGCGCTATGTTTTGGTCTTGGCAGATATCCCACTAAAGGGATGATCAATTTTATCACGATAGATATACAGTTCTTTTACTGTTACGTTATCCGAGTGACCTAGGCCACAGGAACGCAAGAATTAATTATTAATATGGATGAAAAATTCGATAGACAGATACTGATTTTATCATATGTTTTAGCATGATAAAATAAAGAATTTGTACATAAATTTATGTAATTTTAATCATTTTATAAATCTTGGCTATATACAAACCAATAATATCGACTCTTATAGTTAAGGTATTTAACCATAAATAATTACTGACTAAATAAAAATCTTCAACATATCTTCAAAAGATTCTTTATACTTATCGTACTAAAATTTTGATCCTTATTTTTAAAATTTTTACTTTTACCAATTATCATTTGATATATCACTCGCTTAAATGGTGTAACATTTACCTTTATTATTGATATAAATTTGTGAAAATAAATGAAGTTAACAAACAAGTAAAAGGATTGATTAAACTGACACGCAACGTATGTTATGAATCATTTTTTATTTCAGTGTTGTATGTGTTGAAGGTTCGGATTATTAAAATAATCACATCATTAATCATGTAATACATATATATGTATGTACATTCGTATTTTAGTCGAACAAACCGAATCCCATATCTTCGTCTTCTGACTCAGATTCCTCTTTCTTTTCTTCTTTCTTTTCCGCGACTGGTGCTTCTGCAGCAGCCGTAGCTGGTGCAGCAACAGAAACTGCGGCAGCAAATTTACTTGGGTCCTATAAAAACGTTAGATAATGTTAGATAGGTTTTAGTAATTACATGTAAGCTATACATAGTATATGTTATCAGACTGCATTTTATGCATTTTTCAACAAGAATCTTAATAGTGCCAGTGGGTTCCACTATTTCTAGCTCTGGCACTAATTACATAAGATTTTCAGAAACATGATTCATCACATCAATATTTTAGGAACTTATTACAGCATGTGTTGATGAAAACTGAAAAATTATGTGAATATAACATACTTTGATGTATTCCTTAATTGTAGCTGCTTCTGGAAATTCAATATCAGTCACAGCAGCAATGGCCAACAGATTCTTGAATCCATTAGCAATACTGTGAGGAGCACTAGCTACTGTAGGATAGCCAATAGCTAAACACACTGCAGCTAAGTTTGCCACTCCAGCCATGAATTTTTCCCTTAGATCTTCTGGTTTGATGTCCAAAATTTCAGGTGCAAAAATAGTACCCGAATCATAGACTTGTTCAACAAGTAAACCATATGAAAACGGAGAAATGTTCAACATATTTAAAAGAGTGGCTTCAGATGCACCCACCTTATCACCTGGTTTTAAAATATGTACATCGTTCTAAAACATAATGAAATATAATTTTTTGCTTGTCATTATATTAACCTTTTACTTAGACAAAAGATATTAATTTAAATTGAATCATATGCTTACAATAATTTCAATAGTACCCTTAGAAATTTTGGTAGGAATGCTCAAGGCTTGAAAGAATGATGTTTTCTCAGGTCCAAGACCAGTGTTTTGAGCAGGAATAATTACACTTAGTGGTGCAATAGCACCTGCTCTAGCTGGTGCTCTGACTTTGTTTTCCAAAAGTTTGTCCCGTACTTCGATTAAATCTCCACGGGTAAAAACAAAACCAACATTTCCACGAATATGTGGAAGAAGTTTTTCAAGGGCAGCATTGCGTTCAATATGACCACGAATAGCTTTCCTCATCATTGTGTTCTTTCCCATTAATACAACAGCATTCCCACGAAGGGACATACGGATTTGTTGCATTTGTTTAGAGCCGACATTGTCAGCACCCACAATGAAACATTTTGGGTAATCATCCAATAGTTGCTGTATAAAAAATATATATGTATAATGTAGATATGAATTAAATATTTTAGTGACGATTTCGCGATAAAATATTTGAAATACTCACAACAAGTTTTGTAAAGTAATTGGATTTCCATGTTGCCTTGTCCTCCCTACCCATCTTGAAGTGTGTATAGGGATAAAACGTTTAAGGACTAAAAATAAAAAGGCTTATTTATATATAATTTACTATTAATATTGTACGGCATTTCACAAAAATTAAAATCAGACTACACGTATGTGTAATGTATAATCTTGTAATTCGCACACAGATGGGTTCTACTATTTCTAGCGTCTGTATGGTTCTCGAATTATCAGACGTTTCATTTTATCATCATATAAAATATTTATGAAAAACAAATATTGTATAAAAACATACATAATTCATCACACATATAAGTATATGTAGACAATAAAATTTATACATGTACTTCCATTATAAGCATATATGATAGTTTTATATGTGTAAATAATCAATACTTTTAAACATATAAATTATAAATACGAAAATATTTAGGGATTACTAAAATTAAGGTTATGTGACCACATGGCATATACATATTGTTTATTTTCACTTGAATATTCAAGAATATCTTATACTTTCTGCATTTTATTAATGTAACATGATTTAAATAATGTTATAAAATGATTTTTATAAACGCAAAGTAAGTAAGCTATTATTTTATCACAAAAATAATGTGGAATAAATTTTCTTACCTCAGCAAAAATTAGCGGGTGCAATGTGGAAGAAAGAGGAAGTTCTTCCTTCTCCATGACACAAAGATTTACCGGATACGCGCCTCAGGTAAATCATTATCTTAGCGCGAATATTTAAAAAATGTCTAAATGCACATAAAGAAATAAAGTTACATAGAAATAATAAATTTTTAAATACGCTGTTTTTATAATACGTAAGTTGAATAGTTAAAAGTAAACGATATCTCGAAATTAAATTACGGGAACAGTATGGTTATTACCATTAATGCCGTTGAATTTGTTTTTCATGGCCTACAAAGGTATTGAAAGATAAATATATGGTACTATTTAAAAAAATATCGACCTTGAAGTCTCATAAAAAGATGACCATAAAAGAGAAGCTATTTCCTAGTGAACAGGTCAGAAACGGCTTGTAAGCAAGCTTGGTATAAATTTTTAAAGGCAGGCATGTATTGCGATTAACTGAAAAACGGAAGACCACGGAAAACAACGCCGAAAATGGATCGCCGTATTCATCGATTGAGCGAAAAGGATCGTTTTCGTAGTGCAAATAATATTGCTGCAGAGATAAACTACAAAAACGATACACAAATTAGTGCTAGAACTGTTAGGAGAAGATTAGAAGACTAACTTAAGAGAACGAAAACCCCAAAAGAAACCACTGCTAAGTTCTAGGAATCGAAAAAGACGACTTGCATTTGTTAAAGCTCAAAAATCCAATCGAGAATTTGTGGAGCATCATAAAAAAGACAGTACAAGGTTATAAATCGAAAAATTTAAATGAACTTTACAATTGAAACAACTTGGAGTAATATTACGGTAGATCAATGTAAAAAATTAATTAATATATTTTATGCCAAGAAAAAGTGATAAGAAATAACGGATATTGGACAAAATATTGAATTTAAAAATTAATATTTTTTGTGTAGTCAAACTTTTGACCGACAAAATATTATACAGATTTCGTTTCTTTTTTATAACTTAGCTACTGAGCAAAATATCAAAATGAAATTTTTTGTAAGTGTATAAACAAATGTCTAATTAGTTAATACCAAAAGTAGAACACTGTATTTATATTTTTTATGGAAAGTAAATCAATTATTTATTTTTTCCATTTCGTCTTAATCTTTTGTCTGCTACTGATGACAACAAATGGGAGAGATATTTAGTGGGGCCATCCTGTATATGCAAAATTATATTTAAGAAATAATTCATTACAAATTAAATTTGAAATGCAAGCTATTAACTTAGTCTAAACATTAATGTTATTCATAAGTATAATTATTCAGTAAGTACTACTATAATATGCATTGGTATAGCATAAAATGAATGATAAAAATCTTACATTGCTTTATATTTATTTATTCATTTGAAATTACACATAATATAATCTATATTTAATTCAAAATCAGTTTTAAATTAATCTTTATAATATGATATATTCATCACAATATGAAAATGGCACAATATTATATAAAAAGTAACGTCACATTTTTCAGAAAGGAGAATACTTTGCTATATATAATCAATTAATATATAATCAATCATATATTGATAGAGAAAAATAATTCATGTGTAAAACATATATTAATTTTAAAACACTGGTTTAAAATTTTTTCTTTTACTTTCAATTATACTGATAGTATTTCTTCAGCGCAGTTTTTCAATACATTCACTGCAAAATCAATGTCACTTTTGTTGAGAAGTGTAGAAACACAAAGCCTAAGACTAGGCCTAGGTATATTTTTCTCTGCTTCTAAATAGGCAGGAGTTATGACTGCTAAATTATTTTCAATACATTTATCAGAGATTTTAGAAAGCAATTTTTCTTCTGTAGCGCGGTCTTTCTTATTCTTTAAATATACATGTTTTACTGGGGATTCTGGGAAACTTGAACATTCCAGGCAATGAATTTTTTGCAGTCCCTCATTTATGGCTATGCAATTATCTCTTAATGATCTAAATAGCTGTGGATTATTTTTCATAATATTTAAAGAAGTAATAGCAGCAGTTGTTAAAAGAGGTGGTAAAGATGCAGAAAAACAATATCCAAGACCAGATAAGCGTTGGTGTTCAATAATAAATGATGTGCCTACACAGAAACCTCCAATAGACCCCATTGCCCAATCCAGAGAACCTAAAAAGTATAAAGTATATAAAATATAATACAAATTATTAATAGAAATTAAGATCTATAGTAGTTTATTGTTGATAATTATAATTGAATAATATTGCTTACCCATAATCATATCAATTTCACATTTAGGAACATCAAAGTGTTCAGTGATACCTTTCCCATGTTTACCAAGGGTTCCAAATGATATTGATTCATCAATAAATATCCTTATTTTATATCGCCTACAGAGTGCAACCAATTCTGGTAGTGGACAGATATTTCCAGTATTCATATAAATACCCTCAACTATTAGAAAGCGTTTGATTTTAGCTGCCTTTTTAAGATTTTGTTCATCAATTTTTGCTTGTTTCATCAATAAATTACTAAGATCATTTACATCATTATGTTTAAAATAAGTAATATTAGCCTTAGTTGCATCTAATCCTTTCTGTATAGCAAAATTTGCTTGTTCATCTACAAATATAAGATCCCTGCGTTTACAATAAGCTGCAATTGCAGATGCAATTGTACTAAATCCATATGAATATACAACTGCTTCTTCTGTATCTGTATAATCTGCTAAACGTTCTTCTAATTCAAGATGAACATCCACAGTACCATAAAATCCACGTGGACCACAAGAACCAACTCCATACTTTCTTATTGCTGCTATTGCATCCTTTTCTATTTCATTATTTTCAGTTAAACCTAGGTAATTGTGTGTACCTAAATTCAAGCAATCTTTCCCATCTACCACTATTCTTTTACCAGCTCTAGATGTTATGCATCTTGGATTCAAAGATATATGATTCATCTGTGGATTATTTATGAGAGGTTCAGGATTCCATTCCGCAAGTTTCCTTTCTATTTCATCTTCAGTTAATGTTCTATCTCGACTGAAATATCTCTTACTAATAAACCAAATAAGCCACAGAATTACGAATATTTCTAGTAACGTATGATATTGAGGTATCGTACTCAAAATATTCATTGATTCAATAAATAGAAATTTTGTGCTCATGTTTTTGGTTGTATGATATTTTACAAATACCCTGTTTTTATTTTCGTATAACTTCTAACGTGTCTTAATCACCTTATGTAATACTTTGTATTACTTTTGACTAGTATACTTGTGCAAAATAATTGTAGTGAATACATACATACTTTAAAAAGCTTATCACTCTTTGAAGTGTTACACGTAGGAATGATATTAATAATTGTACTCTAAAAGCAAATTAGTATTGCAAAGTATTAAGAAAGTTTTCATTTCATACTGATAAATACTCTTAACAAAGCATTAAATAAAACTAATTATGACTCAACTTAGCAGCAGTGATTGCGCCTTGCGGTTACTTCTTTCGAAGAACCAAATAAAAACCAGGTGGCAGCACCGATATATATATATATACACGCATGCATACACACGTATACATATAATATCAATACGAAATATATATATGTGAAATATTATTTTGAAATATATTTATCATATAAATTTTAAAGTCCATATAAATACATTTCACTACAATTTTAATTACATTATAATACGTGAAAATTCATTAAGAATTACAAAGATAAATTTTAAATTATTTCAACAATGTGGCAAATGTATTGATTTATTGTATAAAAAAAATTATTATTGCCTTATCTTACTAACATAATAGTTACAATTCTAAAGCAATAATGTAGAATTCGGGTAAATTTGTTTTAGAGATAATATTTAAACATGGGCGCATGCGCGATTAACAATTTTAAGCTCGCGCAATAGTAAGAGTAGTACTTCCGGTATCCGGCAAACGCCCCAGTGTATGTAGTTATGTTGTCAGATTGAATTCTTGCCACTTGTGTATCGTATTTGTTGTGTTGTTATTAAGTCGATTGTCATAAAGTGACAGTGTACATATCGCTGACTTTCATTGAGGCTTTATACTGGTAAGCGAATTGTCATTAATTTATCAATACTGATTAATGCATCTCACTGCCACTAGACTCATATTAACTTTGCTGAAAACATTTTGCTATTTACGAGGTTCCGCAGTTTACATTATCTGTACTTAAATGTAATTCATATATAAATATATACATATATGTGTACTCGAAAAGTGCAATATATCGTATGTGTAAGTTGAACTATTATAATTGTTTTTTCGATAAAACATACGAAATTGCATTTGGTTTGGTTATGAACATGGTTATACTTGTATGTATATCCTGCTGTGTTTCGACTGTGAGTCATACTACGCTGCACCTGACACTTGACACCTGGTAACGTATTTTAATCCTGTACAATGTTGAAGAAGTATCTAAATCTCATTAAATAACATATTTTAATTACCATGTTTCATATTTGCCGTAAAAATTGAGATTTGTAATTTAAAAAATACAAATAACATTTTTAATGAAGGTATTTAAAATTTGATGCCTATATAAGGATATATTTATTTAACGTATGAAGTTATTCAATTTAATGCTAGATAGAAGCATTTAAATTTATATAAAGATATGTTTTTGATTACTTCTATTTAAAGGTACTGCTTTGGGATATAATAATCTTATTAAATCTTGATAATGATTAACAAAATATTCATTACCAAGATTTTGTATTATTAGGTTGGTTACATGATACGGTCCTGTGATTCTGACGCGAGATTAAAATTCCATCGTGAAAGCTGACGAAGTGAGTCCGTTATCATTATTCATCATCTACACGTCGAACGCATTAGTTTTTGTATTCTATTTATCATTATTTTGCTTATCATTATATTTTTTAACAGTCATTTGTGTGATTAGTGAAAAACGTTATTTCGAAATGTCAGAACTTAGTAAAACGATAGAAGATAATTCCCGAATGGTACCAGGTGCTTATAAAAAGGTTTTAAATATGTGGAAAAATCGTGAGTATAAATTAAAATTCTTTTATTCTCTGATGCAATATGAAAAATGATATGTACTCTATTACTGTTTATAATACTCAATGTTTGATTCATGAAAGTTTAACAAATTATCAAAAAATTAATATATTATATTAACTAATTATAATTTTGTAGTTTTTTAATGAATAAGCCATATGTGAATGCAAAAGATGGTTATGAAGCTATTATCACAACTATAATAAATATTATATTGCGGAAATTTTATGTTGAGTATGTATTCAATTCTTATAAAATAATGGTCAACATTTTATTACTTATTTTTATGTTGATCATTATGTAACATTATATAAATACATGATAATTTTTTGCTATAATTCATAATAATGGAATTTATATTACGCATTGATCGTATAGGATATAATTTAAAACATTGTAATATTTCAGTTTTAGATAAAATTTATCATTATCAGTGTAAGCTATTTGTAATAAGGCGAAATCTGATAAAGAATAAAATACGTTCATAGGTGTACCGAAAATGCGAGTCATTATGAATTATTTGATCTTCGTTCCGACCTGTCTGTGAGAAACGTCCTACGAGTTAAAATCTTTTCTGCATAAGGCACGTGTGCTTTAATATATTCTTATATCAGTAGTAATTTTATACTAAACCAGATCTTACGATTTTATTTATTGACTAACATCTCTGTTGATAGTTACATTCATGTATTCGACTGAATTAGTAATCCGTTGGACTTCTAGTTGCTGCGAAGAACAGTTACGGGTTAAAGTTTGACGGCCCTGTTAGAAACGAAGTTAGATTTCGAAAGTCCTGCGCTGCACGTGGCTCTTTACCTAAGGAACCTGCAACAATTTCGGGTCTTGACCACCCTGTGGCAGCACCGCAGAGTGCCGGTCGAAACCTAAAGCAGTAGAGCATTGCGCCGGCTGCTTCTAAAGTAGACTGTTTTAGAGGGTAGACACCTCCACCCTTACGAATCTCGTGAATTCATTCAACATTTTCATTCGCAATGTGCAATCTAACTCGAGTTCAGCTTTCTATCAAGTGTCAATAACACTGTAATATCTGGAAGTGATTTGATATCAATTGTTATTTTTTAAATATTTGGGTGGTGTTCCAAGAGCTAAACAAATTTTTTGCCAAACTATATATTATGGTATTAAGTCGACTGGTTAAAAAGGATATATAATTAAAATGAGCGTTGCAAACATTTCTTAGTAAGGATGGTACATTAATCTCGTCTCGTGCGCAATATTAATTTACATTCTTAATTACATTCTGTACGGTTGAGTTTATAAACGTGATTCATTACAGATAAATGTATGTAAATTTTCTCCGACGACCGAACGTCTGTTCATCCGCGATTCTATTCGTTACATTATTCACATGCATCGAAATTGAAAAGCATGCGCTTGTGATATCCTGTATACGTGTACGTTCATCCTTTGACTGCTACTTATCAGATTAGCTTCTGGTTCATTTTCTTTCATAAGATTATGAAAAAGACGAATGCGGGTCACGTTTGGAAGGATGTACGGTTACTGCCAGATAAAATGTCTATTCTCTCTCTAACGCGAAACTTATTTTCTTCGTACATCTTGTAATCCGAAACCATTCTAAAATAGAATTTAGCGTTTCGAAATATCAAAAAATTTGATGATCGTCCTTTTACTTACTTGCATTAGATAGGCATATAACGTTCATTTCTATATCTGTTACACTGATCTCGAAAACATAAACTTGGGCGTTGTTGGAATCGATCATCGCGCCATCAAGGGAAATTCGCGGGGAAAATACACCGTCTATACACACCGTACGATTCCTCGAAAGTGTCGTAATTTTGTTGCGAATGTTCTCATAGTTACTTATTATAAAGACGTTACGTATGTGTTCCTAGAAACTGTTGCTTGTAAATGATAAAGTGAAGATTTTTGAGTCGTTGAAACAGCAAATATAAGCTTGATAAAACTTACATAAATATTTTATCTTTGTTAATATTGACAATAAATGATAGATATAGCTCTTTCGATGTACGTTGATCGTTAATCAGACTGTTTATTAGTAGCTTCTGTAACGAAAGGAAGTGAATTGGTGTTAGTTACTAATCTTATTGTTTCGTTAAAGCGCGTATTTGATTGCTAGTTTACGATATCAGTGGATACATACCGTAAATATATAAACCGGCTGTGAACAAATGTAATTTATACCGGCTGTACATCAGACAATTTATAGTTGGTGATTCCCGTGGGAAATTCGGTTGAAACGAAATATTCGGTTGCTTGGTTGAAAAAGGCCAGCAGAGCTAAAATATTCAAGTACCAGTTTCAAATATATACGGCTGTGAGGGGTCAGCGTTGAACTTGAGCCTAAATATTAAAGTATTCTTCTATCCGCCGTTATTATCTTCAATACTATTCCGAGTCAATAATCGTTATATATTAAGAATCGTTTACCCTATTTTCTATTTACCATTGTTGCATATATTTTAATCTGTATAAAAGGAAAGGAAAAACAAAACGACACGAAATTCCGAATTAGCAGTCAATATTTTACATTGTTACGAAGTTGTCCATGCTTGTATATAATATATATTCTCTCTCTGTCTCTCTTTCTCGTTGATACCGTATGAAATGTATCGATCAATTTTATCCGGTCTTTCGAATCAATTGATTCGAATGGATCAAACGGTATCGTTGTAAAACGATCCTAGTTGATAAGAGTCGCGTGACATAACACATACCGGCTTATCGGTTTGAAAGCATCGAAAGTTCGGTTGAAAGCCGGCAAAAGGCGTTTATTGCTGATACAACGGAAATCCATAATCGATATTGACGATGTTTAAATGCTGTGTGTGCAACAAAAGCTCAAAGAAGGAGAGGTCGAACGGCGAGGTGACGAAGTCGACGCCAAAGAAAAATCAGAAAGCGGTCGATTCGCAATTAGTTGGCATTGATTCATCGAAGCTCGAGGAAAACGGGCCGACCGGTAGACAAGAGAAGTTGAACGGCGACGTGCAGAGATTTGAGAAAGTTTCTCCGTCGATGGAGAAAAACAGCGCGGAAGTGGTCGACGACCTGACCGTTAAGAGTCCGTTGCCTACCGGAAAGCGCGACGAGGTCAACGATAATTCTCTCTTGCGAACCGAAACGATAGTAAAATCGAACAATAGCAAGAACGATGACAATGAGAACGATACCAGAAATGAGGCTGATCGAACGAAACTAGAGAAGGAAGATGGCGAGGTAAACGGAAGTAAGGATGCTAATGGAAACGGAAAGGCGGAGAAAAATGATAATGTAAGCGGATACGTGGATGAGGGCGGAGCGATGGAAGCAATACTGAATTCTGGGCTTTCTGATACCCTTAAGACCAATCTTTGTGACTCTTTCGCGTATATCGAGAGAACGATCGATGATGGGCCCGAGGAGGAAGGCGATGATTCCGTTTTCGAAGCTTGCCCGAACGATACCAACGCGAATAAAAATACGCCGCCAGGTACATATATCCTTATTGCGCAGTTTCTCCTTGGTAAAGAAAATAGATATTTTTAAATTCGTTTAGAGATGAAAGATTCGCGCAGGACGTTAAATTATAGTTTCTGACAGGAAATATGGAAATGCGATAGTAATCGAACTGGTTTATGCGTTAAATTTCAATTTCGTTTTTTTGAGATACTGATTCACTCTCGAAATTACACATATTTTAATATTTACATTCATAATGTATATATATACATAATTACGTTCGTTGCCCACTAAAATGCATAATTCCGTGACCTGCGAACGAATTTTTCATTTTAAAGCAAAGTCAAAAATGGAAATATCCTACCGTCGTCTATAAATATGCAATTTGCTCATTTCACGACTCGTTCTCTCGTTGATTTTTCTACATTTCCTTACATGTGATTTACACTATTAATAACAGCGTGAAATATGTTAAAAATTCATTACAGAAGCAATTACATGCTAAATTAAGAATTTCATTATCGTGTTGGAATGTAGGATTTGAAATGCGTTAAATTATTTTGAATTATAAATGAGGAAATTGCATAATGGCTATACGAAAGTATTTCAACGCTTGTCGTAGAAAAGTTAAAATATTATACGTATTATACAAAATATTTTGAAATTTCATTAGCATATTAGACAAGTTTTAAACCAATTCGAAAACGTATATACAAGTGTAATGCAAACGTGCACTTACTGTTAGTAAAAAATTAATATGCCGGAATTATTTTTGGAATATTTTTGTAACATCGCTATTAGTTAGTTTTCGAAAGAAATTCCATTCCAAAGATCACTGTGCTTGTTAGTGTATATGTATATTTTGAAAAAATTGCATCTTTCGGATCATCCTTTTATATAGAAGACCGATAGGCATATTTCAGTTAAACATTAATGCACACTTACATAACTTACTAACATATGATAAGTAATTGATTGTTCAACTATTTTATTGATCGTCATGAAGTGTACATAGCTTGTAATCAATGTCTTGCAACTTTTACGTGCATTTACTAAATTGAATTTTGCCATTACTATCGTGATTATTACAGAGCTAACGAAATTTCAATATGTTTTGTATAAGACACATAATACATTCATAAAAATTTTCTACAAGCGTTCAACTGCATTTCGTGAGTCACTGCAGATATGTAGATAAAGATATCTATATTGCGGTGTACGATGCGCAGTTTCGTCAATTCCTCGGTGGCTTTCGGAGGAGGAAGACGGCGAGCACGACTCAGAAGAGTGCAGCGGAATGCAGGAACCACCGGCGACGCCGGTTGCTCGCGACGAACTAGCTTTAAGGCGTCACAGATTCTTCTCCGATTTGTTACACGTTACGCAAAACGCGACGGAGCACAGAGTGAGGTTTGACCCTCTAGGACCGATGGTGCACGCCGGTTAGGGTTCACCCTAAATCTATTTCTTACTTTGTATGACACTTAGATCTTCTGTTCGAGTTATTTATTTGCTTATTATTTATTTATTTATTATTATTATTTATATGAGAATATCGGATACAACCAAGCCGATCTATTCTAATTTTCTAATTATGCTTCAGAATGAGTGGAAAATACCTTGCAAGATGAGTGCGGTATGATCGTGATTTGGACACAGATGAATGATCTTAAGGATTTTTGTAAATCAAGTCCATTCTATGGCGCCTTGGAGGGCTGGAATTATTATAAATATTATTTATAATATAATATTTAGGAAAATATTTCATGTGAATAGAGATATTAGTTGAAAAATGTATGTAGTTGGAAACACCAAGAATTTTATGATTGCATCATGATTATTTAATGCGGTTGACTAAATTTATTTATATCAAGATTACAATACATGTTCCGTAAACTTAGGATAGATCTTTCTGAACAATTGATTTTAGATGAAATATTGGACAAACGTCGTGCGATGTTTCTGTTAAAACTTGAATATTATGACTAATTTATCAATATGCCACTGTGTATATATACACTGTGTATAAGAGAGTATTATATATGGTAATTATTTCTCAGGAAAATCATTTGTTTTCAAGTTGTGACAAAGAGTTTTATAACTTTACTCTGTTCCACATATTGTTACCGTCCAGTGTAGTGTTTCGTTATTATTCGCTGCATTTTTATATTTTGATCTACTTATCTTTTAACTTTTTGGTGTATTATTTCACGCTACTATCGTTTTCATTAGAAAAAGAGAAGAATATTTAAAATAATTAGAACTGTCATTAAAAATACACACCAGTGATTTCTTGTTTTTTCTTAGTTATGAAAAATACATTTTCTTTTAATTACAAGTATAAAACATCAATGAACAATATATATCTATTTTTTAATTTTATGCATATAAATAAGTTATAAATTATAAAAAATCTTTTACTTGAGTGTTTACATGATTCGTATACAGATATGCTGAGAATTTTTAATTATTAAAAACTTATTAATGCGTGAGATTCCATACAGAATGGTATCTACCCACGCGTGATTCAATTTCCACAGATTTTCTAAGAATAGGCCGCGGCACACACCCGCGTTGAATATCATTAGAACCGTAGTTTAGTTCTTCAAGCGTTTCTGAAAAGGCTACAGGATCTCGTCCGTGAAATCTTTTGTTCGTACAGGAATAATCTTTAATCAGGGGAAAGAATAACCGAGTCAGGTGTGTTTTTGTAATTTAGAGTGGCATAAGTCACAGAAACACCGGTAACGAATTAATTCATTTGTATATTATTTCATATTTAATTATAAATTTAAAAATTGTGTAATTTAAAGCAAGTTATTCTTTGACCTTAATTTTCTCGCGGTTCATGAATTTTTATAGTAATCGAAATGATGTACGCTTATTTTAAAATTTACAATGTGATTATCGTGTCTCGTTTAATGTAATCTATTATTTACAACTTTGATTTACAGTAATTATCAGGTACAATTTTATAGTTATCGTGAATTTGTTTTATATTAACATTTTCAAGTACACATAAATTTATTTATAATATTACATGTCGCTTGCAACATAATGATCTAGTGGCTGTAGATGTTAATGTAACTATTTATACGTTCATTCTATATTTAATTTAGTCGCTCTTAATGCGAACTTTCGGGAATATATTTCTTTCAATTACCGAAGATTTTCTGTTGATCGGTATTAATAATTTATTAGTTGTAAATCAACAAATTTTGTTTCATTGCCATTTCATTTTCAAATATTGGGTTTATAAAAGTATGTTTGTAGTAAAGAATATTTTATTATTACATTCTATGGATATTTAAATTTAATTTTGTTTACTTTTTGCGTGTATTTATAGTTACTTTATATAGAAACAAACAACAATGAGATATAGAAATAATATAATAATAATAGTAATACAAATAACATTGAATAGATAAAAAAATAATTTTTTTATTCACGATATTGGAGTATATTTCCATTTTATATACATATAAATGTATTGTAATTAAAGGTTGTGAAACTAGCGATAAGGAGGAACATCTAGAAGAGTTGGTAAATAGATTAGAAAACGTTACAAAAAGATTGGAAAACGTAAGAGTCCAATCCATAACTGAAACACAAGATTCTGCTGTTCAAACAAATACACCATCACCAAAGAGGTCTCAAGCAGTAAAAAATAGTGACTCAGTGCTGTCTGCCTCATCTCCTCGTTCGATAGAGAAAAAAGCAGAAGACAAATTTATCAGCATGTCAGTCGCAGGATATAAACAGTTTTTAGACGGTCCTGTGAAAGAATATTTACAATTGAGTGAAAAAATTGGTGGCGATGTAGCTACTCACAGCAAGCTTGTAGAAAAGGCATTCAAGTAAGTACTTTACTATCAATTTGTGTATTTTAAATTCCTGATATGTTTATGTAAGTCATTAAGTATTGTAAATTTATTTTCATAGCATTCAGTTGGAATTTATTCAAACTGCAGCAAGTCGTCCAGCCCCAACAAACCAATCAGAGCAAATTTCTCTTCTTGCACCCACATCTGCACAGATTCAACAGATTCAAGAGTT